CACACTACTTCGTATTAACCAAAATGATAATAAAATTGGAGTTAATTTTACGTAAATATTAACAAAAGTACACCTTACCTTATAGCGTGTAAATTGGCGCCAATCCCAGTTGGATGTTTTTCCGGGTTTATGTCATAAGATGATAAGTGGTGTTTTAAAACTGCCGCGTCATTTTTACAAAAAAGAACAATATTAACAACTATTTCCGAGTCGGTGATTTCGGGATAAGAGTTCTTTAAAAAGTTTGCTTTATTTTTTTAGCAAGACTAGAACTTACCTACTATAGGGTCAATTCGAGTCTATGGTGATCGGATGCTTCAACATAAGAACACTATAAAAACTCATTGTCAATACAATTCAATCCGCTTATTACAAAAGCAGTACCGCTTATAGGTGTTTCACAATGTAATACCATACACGTTTTAAACATTAAATGTAATTTATACAAGATTATGGAGGCTGAACAATGTGTAACATAACAATATCGCCCCGTGTCATAATTCGTGCAGTTAATACATATACTGTATACAACATAGCACAATGATATTACAAGGTAGCCATCACGCCTGGCAGTGGCAATATATCAAAAAAAATAACAAGATTATTTTGTTGTTTTACATTCTTTACAGACATGAGTTGTACAATCTTGAAGGCAGTTCTAAACGCACAACAGCAGGAAATACGGTACACCTTAACCAGACGACAATATGATTTAAACCGACCAAAAACATGAGCGAAGACAGCGTTCTGCAGGAGTACGACTTTCCTGCATCACAGGGATGTACTAACTTTGATCAAAGCTTAGATAGTGCAAGAAGCAGTATTGCACAATTGTGCATGTCCCTTTCTTTTAGCTACAAATTAATATATGAAAAGATGGACCCAAGACATTCATGTGTGATTGTACCTTTGCAATTTGATAAAAAGATACAGCTTACCAAAAAAGAATTTAACTTAACCATGCAACAGTTTCGTCCTTCAAGGACTGACTAGTGATGCTTGGGCCAAAAACGTAGACAACAAAATTGTTCTTAAATACTGTTGAAAAAGAAGGAGAGGTGCGAAAAATCCCTTATTTGATTTCCAGAAATATGTGATCTTTAAGAAAAAATGACCTCTATCAGATCCTTATGACATTTAAGAGTAGATGACCTAAGTCAGGTCTTGTATGACTTTAAAAAGAGAAGACCTAAGGTCAGACCCTGTATGGCCGTTTCGAGTAGATGACCTAGCTAAGGTCAGATCAAGCACCTATATTTACAAATGATTTCATCCGCAAGACACACAACCAAAAATTATTATGCAACTTTGTTATTCAGAAAAGGTTGGGTCTTGGTTGACAGATCTGATTTTAACCCTTTTTTAGTCAAACAAGGGTCATTTTATAGGAATATTACGCATGTGAAAAATTGTATACTTGTGTGTGAAATTCGAGAGGAATTGCTGATGCACAATATCTTTTTTTTTTTGTATTTTTCATTTTCATTACATCCACAAAAAACATTAGCTCAAACTCAGTGAAGTTTTTCTCCACCCTTCGTGATGTCCCCGCCATTATCGTATACAGAAAAAGTATGGCAAGTATATCCGGAAACCAACAAGTTAAGTTTGTATCATATATAGCAGACAGGTAAGGCATTGCATGTGATCGATACTGATCCATGCAATCTTTTCCTTTACTGATTCTCCTTTTTAAAAAATGTCTTTAAGCTATAGTTATAGTCTCCTGCAAATGCGGTGACGGTTGAAGCTTAATAGACATTTACAGATGAAGGTTACAAAAGGGCTTGCACATCGTAGGATACAGTTCGCATTGGGCGTTTTTCTTCCCACGTATTGCTTTATGTCGTATTAATTACATATGCAAATGAGTTTATATAATCCTGCCCTTTGTAGCTGTAGCCGACAATAATGTGCATTGGTTGTTTCTTCTTGAATTTTCACTTGCCAGCAGCATGCGTGGCACTGTCAAACTGTCCCCGTTCAGATTATTTGACTTATCATATATGTCAGCAGATGACACAGTTTAAGTTTGTTCCCTCGCTATTTCATCCGATGTATTAACGGGAGACCTACTTTCAAGTCCAGGGGTTAAACATGTTAAAATCAAGTTACTTCTCAAGGACCGCCATGCTTGAAGTAATGGTATTTGATGTATAACTTGCTGAGTTGAAAAGGTTTCAAGTTTAAATAAATAACAGATTTACATTCAGGTTATCGAGTCGAATTCATTAATATATTTAAACTAGTTTTTAACAAACCACGAGGCATCGAAGAAGTTACATGATTTTGGCCTGTAGGTTACTGAGATTTTTGTTTAATGTTTAATTTCCTTATAATAGTAAGAGTCATATGAGTACGGGTGAACCTGAGGTTGGGGACTATAAACTTTTCTTGTATAAATAGTATTGCCCCACATTGTAGGTCAAGAGATCAAAAACAGTAAATTTTCAAACGATCCCAGCAATCCATCAGGCATTATGTCTGTAGAATGTCGGGATGGAAAACTAAGCCATTCTATTTTTGAAAGTAAAATACAATCTACTCTTCAAAGTCATTTGAGATAAAGTCTTCCACGACCTCTTTTGAACTATAAGGCTTAGAGTAATGATATTTAGTCAAAAGGTTACTGTAATGAAGGGCCATCAAGCTTTTTAAAAATAAAATTATCTTCGACTAAAAATCTAATAACATCACTTTTAAATTTTCTTGATAAAAGAGTCATTAAGGGTCTCCTGTTTGTTTGTATTATTCTTTCGCTCTCTTCTCTATTAATTCCTATTGTCTGTAGACTGAAACCTGTTAGTTATCAATATTAAATTGCTAATTAATACTGCCGATTTAATAAAAAAAAATATCAAATGCAGAAATGGTCGTAGTATTCATTAAATTAGACTTCACTGACGAAAGACGAAGTAACCATTTACAAGGAAGAAAACTACTTCGTATTTCGTATTTTACTGAAGTGTTAAGAAAACCGGAGCTAACGTTTTAAAATACTGCATCAACTTGCGCCAATCCAAGTTAGATGCTTTTCCGAGATGATATTATCGGGATAGGGGGTGTTTAAAAATGTTGCTTACTTTTACATAAAGAGTTTACAAAAGTACAAATATTTTAATTTCGTTGTTAGTTATATTGTAATAAACATATTATAGGGTATGCACATATTATTGGGTAACTTTTTTGTTCCTAACCCTGTTTATATAAATATAATAACATACAACTTTAAGCATGATCGTTGCAATGTCAAGAATAAATCAATAATAAAAGGTGTGATGAAAAATTTAATTTATTAGAGGTAGAAAAAAAAGATGTTTTTTTATAAATTGCATAACATTGATAATACTTATACACTTTATCTTTGCAGTAAAATTAAGAAAAAATATAGAGAAGAATCCGATTTATCTTTACTGAATTTCGAGCACAGACAACTACATTTGTAAGAACAAATTTAAGAATAAGTAATCATATCCTTAAAATCGAAATTGGCAGAGCTAAACTATTCCTCGGCACCTCCGTCAATTTTAGTCAGATCTTGTCTGACCCAAAGTAAGATTCTGTTTACTTTTAAGAGTAGACTACGGTCAGACACTGCATGACATTTAAGAGTAAATAATCTTTATTCAGAACCTGTGGCTTTGAGAATAGATGACCACATGGCAGATCATGTTGGACCTTTGAGAGTAGGTGACGTCAGGTCACATCCCAGAAATTGACCTTTAACCTATATCTATAGTCCCCTGCACACACGGCGATAGATAATGCTGAATAGGCATATTCTACAATGAAGGGTACAATAGCCTAGGACTTGCACATACTACATTATAGTCCTCGTTAGACGTTCATTTACAGTGTTTTGTTTTATCCCGTATTAATTCGATATGGAAATGAGCGTATTACGTATGATTGAAATGCCCTTTTTGGCCTAATGTGCCCTTTTTGGTCCAATTTACCCTTTTGCCTGCAACTTTTCCTTGCTCTTTTTATCCCTGTGGAAAACACTAGTATATACGCCCTTTCTTTGAAAATGAAGACAAAGCGGTGCACCTATATTCTCTTAAACGTTCATTTGACAGTATCATGTTTGGCACAGACAAACTGTCTCCTATAAGTTCAAGAAAATCTTGACATTATTCATATGAACTTCTTGGTCAGACTGTTTACGCCTGATTAAAATATGTTTACATACTCATCTTCACGTATAGTGTATACAAACGCATAAATAGAGAATATAAATACTCCCGTTTGCCTTTTTTTATTTTTACAGTAATATATGTCCGTGCTGATGTAATAAATTCAATTTTTGATTTCGCCCTCGTTAGATTATTTGTCCGATCATAGATGACAGAAGACGACAAGATTATTTACGGGATGTATACTTGTAAACAAACGTTAAATTTCAGGTAAGCTTAATGCATATGCTATATATAACTGTACCGCCTTATGCGTATTCCGTATTTATTGAAGCAATATTGACGTAGATATTCAGAACTTAACTCGTACAGATCGGATTCAAATAAACAACAGATGAGAAAAAACAAGGTATCTTTAAAGATTTATTAATAATAATTTGATTAATAAAGCTGCTTAAGTTTAAGGGAGCTGTTCACTGAACAACATATCTACTTAAACTAGCAGCCTTCACGTCTGACAGGAAGCGCGGCGTATAACATGACGTGAACTACGTTGTACTCTCCTCGTTGCCTTAGGCTCCTTGAATCTACATGGAAAAGAGGCCTTCCGCGGGTTGCTCTGCAAACCTCGTCAAACAAATTCTTTATATGGAAACGCCATAAATTTGGACAATCAACGTCTGTGTCATTGATCTTTAAAAAAAACATTCGAAGTTCTGTTCGGTGTGTCAAATGTATCATTTGTGTGTTTATGGAGACCTACATAGGTCAAATATTGATATGTAAATTGCTGATGGAACCCCATAGGTGAATTTTAGGGAAAGGTATGTATGTTGTGACTTATGATGTACAACAACATGGGAATATACAAGACATCAGGAAAGGTGGATGTGTTCGATTGGTAACAGGCATCTTTCATTAGATCCACCTAGTTGGTTTAGTTCCAGGAAAGCTGTTTCGTGTATAGGTCAAAATATGCACAGGATCTAACGCAAGAATGTTTACACCTGAAAGTGACAAGGATATCAATGTGACATCATCAAAAACAAGGACACATGAGTTGATGATTTGCAGAGTGAACCGGATTTTGGTTTATTCTCGGGATTAATACATTCTGCCTAAAACAAACATCATGATTGGCCAAGTCACTGCAGTATGACCTCCGTCGTGTGCCGTTCTGAATATCATCACAGGAATTAAATGTGAATATCTCTTTCAGAAGAAACTGAAAGACTGATTTATGATGGAATGTGCTTATAACGTTTGAAAAATGGAAGTACCATTTTGAACATATTTCAGCGTAAGTGAACGATACATGTAGCATCGAGTCGCTTAAACGACATAAGAGCGTGTATTTATTTCATTGAATATCAACCATTTCTCTATCAACATTTCATTCCCTTTCATGAGCGGCATTATGGGGCGTTTTCATTTACTCTTCATTTCATATTTAACGACTTTGCTTATGTACTGTGGTATTGTTAGGTCCATTGCAACCTTTTCTCCTTTAAATGCAACAGAAATTCCAGAGCCTGGTTTGGTTTCAAAGAATCACTTTCTGCCGGTTGGCTGGGAAGATATGTGCACGCTGAAAGAAACAAAACAGAACAGTGTTTATTTTCAATGTTTTATTGATACTAAGTATTCAGGTCTATGGCGACTGGACGTTCTCAGAGACTGGATATCCACGTCAAAATATCGGTACCATTTTCATGTGTATTGTTCTAGTTGGGCAAACGTGTCCATTCCCTGGCCAGTAAAATCACTACACCTGGTCAGTTTAGAGGTCAACGAATGTTTGATCACAGATTTCCTGTCTGAATCATCATTCGGGGAGACATCTGCATCAGCCGTTCCCGATCAGCTTATTGATCTGAGACTCATTAACAGTCAAATATTAATCGGTCTTGTTGGATTAATTACTTACATGAGTAATATTGCCAGTATGCCAAAAGATTTCATCTGTGGTCATGAGGATACAATCGTGGACGTGGCTTTACGAAACATTACCTATATATTTGACGAAAGCGATATCACTGCTTTTATAGGATCTTTTAATGAAGAGGAAAAAGAATCAAACGGATCCACGCATGCTCCTGTAAGTCTCGGAAGTAAAATAATGGATGTTGGCAAAACATTCTTGGACGAAAATAGAAAAATACAACACAAGTGTGACTATGCAAAACTTAGATACATCGACCAAAGCATTAGTGCCACAAAATCCAGATATCATATTGATGTGCTTACTGAAAATTCGTTTTTCAAGGAAGTACGCGTTTATAACATGTCTCGGACGAAAATGACTATTTTGAATTCCAAATTCAAAACATGGTGGATGGATTTTCCGAAATTGGAATTTCTTGATTTATCTTACAATTACATAGACGTGTTTGATATAGACACAACTGCTGTTGCATGGGATTTACCTCTACTTCATGTCAACATAAGCCATAACAATATAACAAGGATTACTGCAAAATATATCACTAAATTGGCTAGGCTGTCAGCTGTTTTGATCCTTAATCTTGAAGGGAATCCATTTCATTGTGATTGCAGTCCTGACATGGAAAGAGTTGTAGATCTTGTTCAAAATGGTGACATCTGGATGAGTAAATTGTATTCACCATACGCATATATACGTAATCTAAAGTGTGCTACCCCTGAAAGTGCAAAAGGGAAAACATTTGTAAGTTTGACAAGAGCTGATATGTCATGTGAGATGACATCATACGCACCTATAATAATATTAAGCATTGTGGTTGTGTTTCTTGTTGTTCTGATTATTGTCATGGCAAGATACAGGCGGGAAATTCAAATTTTAACATACACCAGATTTCACATTGTCCTGTCCTGTCAACCACAGCAGAGTTTTCAAAACAAGATATATGATGCATTTGTGTCGTATAGTAGTGAAAACGAAGGATGGGTAGTAAAAACTTTCCAAGCTCTTGAAGAAGAAGAGCACATAAGAGGGTCAAACGGGTGCAACTTCCGGTTCTGTCTCCATCAGCGAGATTTCATTGCAGGAAAAACGATATTTGACAATGTTATCGATAGTGTAGAATCCAGCCATCATACCGTTATCATTCTCTCAAAATATTTTTTGAACAGTCACTGGTGCATGTACGAGTTTCAGGAAGCATTTCAGCAAAGCATCATGGAGCGGAAACGTCACCTAATTGTTGTACTGATGGAAGATATCCCAGAGGCAGAGCTGCCAAAAGAACTGAAACGTTGTCTCAAAACTTTCACGTACATCAGGAAAGACGACGCCATATTTCACGATCGTCTTATATACGCTCTGGCCTTAAAGGGACAAAAATCAGTCGCGGACGTCCCCAAGAAGGTCGAAAACCCTCCACCTATAACCATGGAGGACAAGGTGTCTGAAATCAATGGTTACTATAACATCGCATTGGAACCTGATGATATAACGGTATGAATAGAACAATTGAAATATTCATCAACAGTCTCCATTGTATGTGCTTCCTTGGAAGTACAAGTGTTCCTGATACCATTAAACCCGAAAACATTATGATATAAGAAGCACAAAAAGACAATTATAACATTCATCAACAGTCTCCATTATTTGTGCTCCCTTGGCAGTCCAAGTATTTATAATACCATTTAAACCCTATGTTATAACGAGATAGTTAGCATAATTGCAATATCCATCGATAGTCTTCATTATAAGTGTTCCCTTGGAAGTACAAGTGTGCATGATACCATTAAACCCGACTGTATAATGCTATAAGTAGGTCAAAAAGACAATTGAAATATTTCATCAGCAGTCCTCATTATATGTGCTCCCTTGTGATACAATTTAAACCCGATGATATAACGATAAAGATAGAACAATTGTAATATCCATCAAAAGTCTATATGATATGTGCTCCCCTGGCAGAACCAATATTTATGATACCAATTTAACCTGATGTTATAACGATTAAGATAGGTCAACAGAAATATTCATTAACAGTCTCCATTATATGTGCTCCCCTGTCAGAACAGGTGTTCATGATATCATTCAACATCATTCAAACGATCTCGTAGTGCTTTATTACAATTAACACAAGCTATATACTGAGTCGCTTTATGCAAATAGTTTTTATGTTAATAATTTTATAATTTTATGAACTGATATGGAAATGTTTTTGACGTCTGATACTTTATTATCGCCAACATGCTTATGTTTGTTCATTTAACCTGATCCAGTAAAGGTAAACTCTCAATTGGTTCGAATATGACAGAACCAGATAACCAAATCTAAGTAACCATTGATCAGAAAAGCTGAACTACACCATGGGTCATTATTATTATTTACTGTTTTTCAATGGTCCGGCCCTTTTAAAGCTTTTTTCACAGTTTTTTACGGCATTTCAATTTTGATATAACGTATGGCATATCGCCTATTTAAAAAATAATACTTGTGAATGAAATGTTGGGAATATTCTCCCGTGTATTATGTACAATGATGAACCATTTTGAAACCATAATGATCCCTGTCCCACTGTCTGTGGGTTTTTTCCCTATATACAGAAGCCTCCCGTAAACTTCCATTTTGATATAACTGTAGAACAGTTGGGCAAGGAAACTTCCGTTGATCAGGTAGCTCAATCGGTTAGTCCGGGGTTTGAATCCCGATCTAGCCCCGAAGTATTTACGCTCAGAGCACTGTTGTTGGTTTCAGCTGTATTATTTCTCATAGAAGTCCCACAAAGTATTTTTTTTTCTTTAAAATTGATCAATTAAAACTATAGTCATGCCGGGAAAACAGCTCCCTATACTTACTTACAGTTTCTAGCAGTGGGACGAGTGTCCTTAAATAGGCCTTAATAACATTAAGCTTGATACAACCTAGCCCGTGAATCGGTTGCTTTGTATACATCTATCAAGTATCTATATATAAACAAAGTATTAATACAAATTATCGTATTCCGTCTGAATTGCTAAAACAAGCCAAGTCGCCATGCATATTGAACTGCTTGCGATCGATTTGACTCTCATAACTTGTATTTTGAGTTTTAATTACCATTTTAATAGCGTATATACATTTTATTCATTTTATCATTAAGCTGGGAATGCTTGTTAAAAATAATTCCAGGTTGACCTCTAACCTGATTGGTTGAACCCCTTAAAACCTACACTTATGTCAGACTGATACATTTACGTAATTTTTGACTTAATAAAAATTGATCAAATAGCTCATGCATAACATGTTTGTCATCTGTAGAAACTGTTGCTATGAATTTATAAATTGTGATCAAAGGATTTGTATATATACAAAAACGAACGTCAGATACATTTAACGGGCAAATGAATGTTGCGTAACTCTTAATCTAAGCTTTTTACATGTATGAAATTTAGGTATGCTTTTTATGTTTGTGTTTATCCAACCGACGTAACGGATTAATTCAATATAGACACATTCTTCCTGGAGGGAAGACAAACATTATGTAACAGGTTAAAAATGGTTGTCCAACTTCAATGAACATCTTAGATTGTCAACTTTATTTAATATCTTTAGATCGAAATTCGGTTTCTGATATATTTATATGTATATATTTATTATTGTAAAGAATTAAAGTGATCATGGTACTGATGTTTATATGAAAGTTAATTTGAAATACACTTCCTCAAAACGCCTAAACTGAATTGCAAATATCTTTAAAGTTGACAATACAACATGATTGATATAGGTATATCAATTATACCGATGAAGAGTTTAAAACCTAATTATTTTTATGATTTTCAGCTTCTGAATAACGTTAAAGTATTATTATTATCACCAAAAAAGACGTTAGGACACATTTATTTCCTATTAGTCGAAATATCCGAACAACGTTAATATGTACTGTCTTATATAGCCGTTTTACGATCATGACGGACTTGTGTCACACAATTGTATTAGCGAAATCTGTTGTCAAATGATTATGCATAATGTGACAGAATGACAGAACATATTGTATATATAAATTTGTTATAATTTGTGTTACTATATATTCCATATAAGGATCCCTGTCCCGCTCCATTGTGGTTTTGCCTATATACCATAACCTCCCCTTAACTTCCATTTGGTATAACTGTAACACAGTTGGACCAGGACACTGCCACCGACCAAATCAGTTAGAGCGATTGTATATCAATATGAGGTCCAGGCTTCGAATTCCGATCTATTCTCGATGAATATGTTTTTACACCCAGAACACTGTTGTTTATTTCATCTCTATTTTTTCTGATACAAGTCCCACAAGGTATGCTTTCCATTTCAGAAATAATTTATCAAAGCTATAGTCATGCCGGAAAAAAACAGTTTCCAATACTTACTTACAGCTTTTGGCAGTGGTACGGGGATCCTTCAGGGGTTTATATTCTATCGTGTTTCATTATTCCAGCCAGCCACATTATTCCCATTTTAAAAGTGGTTTAAATGTTCACTTACACTACGACGAAAGAAAGAAAACGCAAGTTTAAAATAATCTTTGTTTGAAGATGCAGAAAACTAAAAACGTAATCATATTACTGCACTGTGTGGTCATACCTTTCATCTGCAAGGCTTGGGTTATTGAATGCTGTAGTGTTTGGTTCATGAGATGCGTTCAGTTCGTGTTATTGGTTGAGTAACGCTCGGGTTACTAGATGTTTATCAATTGGGTTATTGGAGGTGTAATGTTCGGGTTATTAGGTGTTTAACTTTTGGGTTATTGGATGTGCATTGTTTGGGTTATTGGATGTTTAACGTTTGGGTAAATGATGTTTGGGTTGTTGATTGAGTAACGTTTTGGTTATAAGATGTGCATTGTTTGGGTTATTGGATGTTTAACGTTTGGGTAAATGGATGTGTAATGTCTGGGTGATTAAATGAGTATCGGTTGGGTTATTAGATGTGCATTGTTTGGGTTATTGGATGTTTAACGTTTGGGTGAATGGATGTGTAATGTTTGGGTTGTTGAATGAGAAACGTTTGGGTTATTTGATGTGCATTGTTTGGGTTATTGGATGTTTAACGTTTGGGTGAATGGATGTGTAATGTTTGGATTGTTGAATGAGTAACGCGTGGGATATTTGATGTTTCACGTTTGGGTTATTGGATTGTTATTTTAGGATTTTTTGATTTTTTTAATGTATGGGCTACTGGATGCGAAATGTTGAGGTTATTGGATGTGTAGATTTGGGTTATTTGGATACTTCTTGAATAGAAATAAAGAAATAAGGCAACTAAACATTGGGTAATGGTGGCTGGTATAGTGAAACTTGGAAATACAATTTAAAAATTATGGATAAACTTATTAAAGTTTGTCAAATTGACTATGTTTATCAAGAATATATACATGAATTTGGAATAATTGATATGTAGATTGTAATACTTAATGATATATTTGATTGTTAGCTCAATTAAGTTGTACAAAATTGTTATCTGATGACGTTAGTATCATTTAAATGTATTGCACATTGATATTGTTTGATAAATGTACAAATACTGTACTAACCTGATACAATGGTTTGTATTTTATGTCGGTTTTACATTTTCAAATTATTGTACATGTACACATTAAATTCTGAAGTATATTATTACCAGTGAAATATAATGTTTTACAGGAAAAATAAAGATGATGTTGTGCCACTCTAGCAAATACATATTTCGTTTGTCTTATTATCCTTGTTCTTCTACAAGAATCCCCGTGTAATCATTTCCTTTGTTCATATTTTACCCTTGTTTTATTGATTTTGAGTTCAAATAATGGTTTTCATAGGTGGCGGACCATCTGTCCTCTGAAGCTCATGTCTTTATAATGAAAAACGTAATACAGAGAATTTTCTTCTTGTCTTTTCGTATTGCAAAGTTATCTTCTATTGTGAGCAGGTATTGATTGTTACGTCATTTGTTTGTGAGAGTAAAGTCATCAATTTTTGAGAAAACGACGTAATTTTCTCACACAAACCAATGACGTAACAATCAATACCCGCTCACAAGAGAAGATAACTCTGCAATACGCAAAGACGGAATATGTAAAACAAGGCCCGTATTCATAAAACTGTCCATATGTTCAATCTCAGATTCTGTACTCAAACCCGTTTTCTTATTCCTTTGTTAAATTCATAATTAAAATCACATTTTCTCAATGATATGGAAGAAATATGGAGATTCTTAAAGTCAAATGCAGTTTTCAATGTGAACACGCAACTTTTTTGTTACGACACCTAATTTAAGAAAGTTGGCTTGCGCACAGTATCCACGCTTGACCATGGGAGTGGTGTCATAAATACTGGCCCAGAACTTACACGTGTACATAAACTCAAGTGCTTTACAAGTAGTTTCGAACAAAAGAATGAGAGTTCCAAATATTTTTGTATAACCAAATAAATAATGTATGAAAAAGTAAAATGATTTACATCGTCATGTATATTTTTATCCAAGAATGATTAATCATATACACACCTGGATTTTGAGGTTAGCCATTTTGGTTTTCATTTGATGTCATATTTCGCGTGATCGTGACTGCCCGAGGGCCAGATGGAATGGTCTATAATCGTCATAAAAGCTGATACACATTTCGTATAATTAGGAAGTTATACACATGTATGTTATTTTATCAATATGGTTATAGTTGTTAGTTATAATGTAAAACCGCTGATTCTAAAGAAAAAGAAATATATCCGGGTACCTCGGCAGTCGTGATCGCTACAACGCGCACTGCCATTTCTACTGTGCGCAATCAAGCGTGAACTGCAGACCACTCAATCTTTCCAAGAATTTTATTTCCCCAGCGGTGGCAGAAAACGAGAGTGATGTCTGATAGGGTCAGTTGTTATCCCTCTGATGGCACGTTGGTTTTGCCCCGTGGGTTTTCCTTCACCGCGAAAACAACATGTGTTCCCTTAGCGGCGTCGTAATGAAAGCTCTTCTGAGCTTATGTTTGTTGTTGACAATATAACGTACACGACGTTAAAGCAACACTACTTATTTTCATATCTGTAACTCTAAAAAGATTTTTTTCATTTGTAAACTGACTTCAAGTAAAATTTAAATTGTCGATTTTTCGACATCAAGAGGTTTCTTCCCGATCTCCTTTGTTCTATCAATGGGGATGGCATTTCTACTGCAAATTGATATACACCAATACAAATTCTATTATCACACTGTAACAAAATTCTCACCTCCCTGTGGTCAATCCACTTCATGTAATTTGGATGTTTGTCCAAACTCCTAGGATGGATATTATTCAATTATGGACTTCAGGTAAGGTCTATCTCTGGATTATGGACCTGGTCTGAACAATATTCACCGAGGCCAAAATCATATAATAAACTTTTTTAATGAATTCCAACTAAAACAGTGCTATATTGTTTTAAGGGTTTGGTGGTGGTGGAGGAAAGCCAGGGTACCCGGTGGAAAAGACACCAACCTGGCGATACTGTCGACTGCCCCACGTAGGCCTCGAACTCGCGACCCAGTGGTGGAGGGCTAGTGAATATAGACGGTCAGACGCCTTAACGGCTCGGCCACCGCAGTCCCGGGACAGGGACTCTTAAATCAAACTATATATCCCCGACATAGTCACTAAGCAATCATTCAAGACATTGATACCCCGTTGTTAACAAGACAACGGCCATAGAAATGTCTGCAATGTAGAAACGGGTTTTTTTAATCAGAATAAAAAGACACGGGTATTTTAATTGGTCAACCGAACTCCTCCTCTACCCAAAATATTCTGATAGCTTTAATCTGTAACCTTTACCCTCCATTAACCGTAGAAGCTGTATGATATTATTGAGGAAAGTAAACGATCGTGATATTAACGTCATCCAGATATATGAGAATGTTTTCCTCAAAATGTTCGTTTGATTTAGGAACTATTTCTCGAAGTAGAATCAGGTTAAACAAACATACAAACTCAACTTATATTAAAATGTTGTCGGCTAATTTCAGGCACGGATATTTATATCACGAATTAATTTAAATACCATAGTTATTTCATATCATTATACTACATGTACTTGTAACATTTCGTGCTTAAAGTATTAAAGTAGCTTCAATTGGATGACAATTTCACCATTTAACATATCTGAATTTGCTGAAAATCATAATAACTTTAACTGGCACGCAATAGGTGGTGATTAGAGAAATGTTCAGTGAAAAAAAAAAAAAAGGAAATTTACATCTCCCTCAAATAAAGACATTTGCGTCACGTTAAGCCCATCTATTGATTTGTGTCCGTAAATCGTCAAAAATTCATTATAGTGTTGAAGATTTATAATTTCTGCCTAGAACAGGAAGAGTTATCCCCCATTTGTAAACGTCAAATCTATATTTTTATGTTTGCACGTTGTGATCCTGAAATGTTTATTCTTCATACTATTTCTGATGATATTTTGTACTATTTAATATGTTGTGTTGATAAACATGAATACACTAATTCAACTAATTATTAAAAACCTAAATTATAACAATATGCCCCTGGACTACCTTAGTTTACCTTTATAATATTACTTGTTAAGGCAAAGGTTACCTACAAGTTAAACTATATTTTTACCACTGTCACTTTTGTGAATTATTTGTTGAGGTCCTTTTCAAAATAAATTTTCACACGTCGCACGTTGCCATGCATTGTACAGAGTTGTTTGAAATTTGAATGTTTGCAAATAGAAACAATAATTTAAAAAAAAATGAAACAAGATAGCTACAGGCATCAAATTCAATACCTTGTACAAACACAGCATTAAAATTGAGTGTCCAAGTTGACAAGGGAAGTCACAGCCAGAAAATAGTCCTTTTGGTTGCTACTCCAAGTAAAAAAAAATAACCTCCGAATGGAACTCTTTTTCGCGAGTATAACTGACGGAGTTGTCCCCCTTTACCTTAAAATGCTGTGTCATTTATTGAAATATTCAGACACCTTTATAGAGCGATACATGTTATTCGACAATTAATCCTGAAATGAAATACGATTCCAACGTTCTTTTGTTATTTCTTTTCAGTTTGATGTAAGTTCACATATGTTAGCGAGATATAAAAGGATGGAATCCTTATTTTATATGGTCGTATTAGTTTCAGAACCCTTTGGCGTTTATAGACCATTAACCTCCCTTATCAGAATAGGATTCAACCCTTATATATTTACATTCAATACTTGCGATTAAAATATATGAAAGCGCAAGTGCTTTACAGATCAACGTGTTTCTGATTTTTAAACATTTCATATTAATATATATATAATACCCATAATATCGAACTATTGCAAGTTCATACCACGGAATCAATCGGCTTATCTCGGCTGATCTCCGTACCCTTGATGACGGTACGGAATCTGCCAAATTGTGGCGAGTGCCACGGAAGAGGCCAAAACACGTGACGTTAAATTCACTGTGTTATGTTGTCTTGGTAAGATAAATCCTCTAAATTACAGGGATTACGCTCTCCGAACCACAGGAATATGTTACAAAGAAACTGAAGGCTCTGTAAGTGCCGCCTTAAGCATGATACTAGCAGAAGAATTTGATCCTGTTATGTACGTTAAAAGATTGACTGGTTTTGAAGTCGGGTGTCGTTACTCTGTTATCTTCAAATGGCATAGCCTAGCGAATGGTCATATTTTATTTACCAGTCAAATAGCTCAGCACGTGCCATTGATTTTTGCCATGACATATCAGCCATTGGTTATTGTAATGACATATCAGCCATTGTTTTTTTCATGACAGATCAGCCATTGTTTTTTGTCGTACCATATCAGCCATTGGTTCTTGCCATGACACATCAGCCATTGTTTTTTGTCACAACATATCAGCTATTGGTTCTTGTCATGACACATCAGCCATAGTTTTTTTCATAACATATCAGCCATTTGTTTTTGTAATGACATATCAACCATTGGTTTTTGTCATAACATATCAGCCATTTCTTCTTGTCATGACATATCAGCCATAGGTTTTTTTCATAATATTTCAGCCATTTGTTCTCGTCATGACACATCAGCCATTGGTCCGTGTCGTGACATATCAGCCATTGATTTTTGCAATGACATATCAACCATTGGTTTTTGTAAAAATATATCAGCCATTTCTTCTTGTCATGACATATCAGCCATAGATTTTTTTCATAACATTTCAGCCATTTGTTCTTGCCATGACACATCAGCCATTGGTCCGTGTCGTGCCATATCAGCCATTGATTTTTGTAATGACATATCAACCATTGGTCTTTGTCATAATATATCAGCCATTTCTTCTTGTAATGACATATCAGCCATAGATTTTTTTCATAACATTTCAGCCATTTGTTCTTGTCATGACACGTCAGCCATTGGTCCGTGTCGTGACATACCAGCCATTGGTTTTTGTCATGACATATTAGCCATTTGTTCTTGTCATGACATATTAGCCATAGGTTTTTGTCATAACATATCAGCCATTTCTTCTTGTCATGACATATCAGCCATAGATTTTTTTCATAACATTTCAGCCATTTGTTCTTGTCATGACACATCGGCCATTGGTCCGTGTCGTGACATATCAGCCATTGGTTTTTGTCATGACATATCAGCCATTTGTTCTTGTAATGACATATTAGCCATTTGTTCTTGTCATGACATATTAGCCATAGGTTTTTGTCATAACATATCAGCCATTTGTTCTTGTCATGACATATCAGCCATTGGTTTTTGTCATCACATATTAGCCATTTGTTCTTGTCATGACATATTAGCCATAGGTTTTTGTCATAACATATCAGCCATTTGTTCTTGTCATGACATATCAGCCATTGGTTTTTGTCATCACATATTAGCCATTTGTTCTTGTCATGACATATTAGCCATAGGTTTTTGTCATAACATATCAGCCATTTGTTCTTGTCATGACATATCAGCCATTGGTTTTTGTCATCACATATTAGCCATTTGTTCTTGTCATGACATATTAGCCATAGGTTTTTGTCATAACATATCAGCCATTTCTTCTTGTCATGACATATCAGCCATAGATTTTTTTCATAACATTTCAGCCATTTGTTCTTGCCATGACACATCAGCCATTGGTCCGTGTCGTGACATACCAGCCATTGGTTTTTGTCATGACATATAAGCCATTTGGTCTTGTCATGACACATCAGCCATTGATCCTTGTCGTGACATATCAGCCATTGGTTTTTGTCATGACATATAAGCCATTTGGTCTTGTCATGACACATCAGCCATTGATCCTTGTCGTGACATATCAGCCATTGGTTTTTGTCATGACATATTAGCCATTTGTTCTTGTCATGACATATTAGCCATAGGTTTTTGTCATAACATATCAGCCATTTGTTCTTGTCATGACATATCAGCCATTGGTTTTTGTCATAACATATCAGCCATTTGTTCTTGTCATGACATATCAGCCATTGGTTTTTGTCATGACATATCAGCAATTTGTTATTGTAATGACATATCAGCCATTTGTCCTTGTCGTGACATATCAGCCATTTGTTATTATAATGACATATCAGCCATTGATTTTTGTCATGACATATCAGCCAATTTTTATTTTAATGACATATCAGCCATTGGTTTTTGTCATGACATATAAGCCATTTGGTCTTGTCATGACACATCAGCCATTGATCCTTGTCGTGACATATCAGCCATTGGTTTTTGTCATGACATATTAGCCATTTGTTCTTGTCATGACATATTAGCCATAGGTTTTTGTCATAACATATCAGCCATTTGTTCTTGTCATGACATATCAGCCATTGGTTTTTGTCATAACATATCAGTCATTTGTTCCTTGTCGTGACATATCAGCCATTGTTTAATGTCATGACATATCAGCCATTGATTTTTGTCATGACATATCAGCCATTAATTTTTGTCATGACACATCAGCCATTTGTCCTTGTCGTGACATATCAGCCATTAATTTTTGTCATGACATATCAGCCATTAATTTTTGTCATGACACATCAGCCATTTGTCCTTGTCGTGACATATCAGCCATTAATTTTTGTCATGACACATCAGCCATTGGTTATTGTCGTGACACATAAGCCATTGTTTTTGTCATGACACATCAGCCATTGGTCATTGTCATGACATATCAGCCATTAATTTTTGTCATGACAGATCAGTCATTTGTTCTTGTCATGACACATAAGCCATTGTTTTTTGTCATGACACATCAGCCATTGGTCCTTGTCGTGACATATCAGCCATTGATTTTTGTCATGACAGATCAGCCAGTAATTTTTGTCATGACATATCAGCCATTAATTTTTGTCATGCCAGATCAGCCATTAATTTTTGTCATGACATAACACAGTGTTTCAATTAACGTAACAGAACGTAACCCCTGTAACTTTGAGGATGGAATCAAGAAAGAAAACGTAATACAATTATTCATTATATCAATTTATTCGTTTAATTTAAAATAATAAATACAGCAATTATTATATACATTCAATCAACAATATATACTACAAATGAATTCAGATGTAACGGGACCAGCACTTCTTTACCAGGTTATGTACAAATATATGTAATCAGTTATGCACAGCCACTGACCTTTCCTCGATAATCAAGGGGTTACGCTCACTTTCACTCTCTGCACCCATGGAATATGTCATAGCAAAATTGAAGCCACGCGCCTAGCTATTTGGTCTCAGATGAAAAAACACCTGACCAATCGCTAGGCTGATAATAGTCCTTTGAAGATTACAGGTAAGCGAACACGATTTCAAAGCCGATGAATTTTACGGGGTCTTCCCCGAACAGCAACTCTGCTTAAAATCACATGTTTACATAGGTGGCCAGTTGTGATGATAGTGAGTTATAGTCTATTGCAGAAATGGTGCACAGGTAAATCAACTTCTGATAAGTAATCAGATAATCAATAACTGCTAATAATTGCGGGGTAACGAGATTCTTTTGATGTACATCAAAGGATCAAACTAGTCTTCGTGTCTCAACCAAAAGGCGGCGCACACTGAAACTTAAATTTTGCTATGACAAATTCCAGGTGTGCAGAGAGCGTAACCCCTGGAGTTTCGAGGATGTCATTTAACACTCTATACGCATCCTCGATATCCAGGGGTTACGCTCACTTTCGCTCTCTACACCCATGGAATATGTCATAGCAAACTTGAAGGCACGAAGATAGCTGTTGGATTGGTGTCAGGTAAAAACAACTGACCAATCGCTAGGCAGAGTCCTGTCCTTTGATCATTACAAAGGAGAGACGCCCGACTTCAAAGCCTGTCAATTTTTACCGTTACGTGACCACGAGATTCTTTTGATGTACTATCAAAGGATCGAACTAGTCTTCTTGTCTCATCAACAAGGTGGCGCACACTGAGCCTTCGATTTTGCTATGACATATTCCAGGGTTGCAAAGAGCGAAAGTGAGCGTAACCCCTGGATATCGAGGATGCGCTCGACGTTGCTGAACCATTGAGCGCGTCCGAGGGGTATACCGCACCGCTGGAAATACTAGCTTACCAGTATGGCAATATTTCCCCTCATATTCATGGACTCTTACATAACGACAATAATATATTCCATTAATTTCAATATCTTAAAGAAACGCTTAAAATTACGGTTATCAGGAACATTTAAAATCAAAAATAATTCATTTGATAAAAATACGAAATATGGAACATTCCAAATTAAAATAATTAATGCATAATTCAAAAAGCTAAACAAAGTAAACAATTTTACTGCACCATGTAAATATTTCGTTAATCAAGGACTTTTAATAATTAATAATGATTTAATTATTTCAATCGACTTTTTTAATCTTGCTATAACTTCCCACAATACCGAAAACTAGACAATAATTCTCCCTCTCACTGAAAGAGGGAACTCTGACATTTAGCTTTATTTCAAGGGTGTGACGACGGGATGGTTCCTACAAAGAATTGAACATTATTGCGTGAGGGAATGTTCGCGTGGTGACTTTTTAAACTGGTAAAGATGTTAATTTTCTTTTCGCCTTGGTCATGATTCTGAAATCATGCATATTCTATGTAGGTTTTAACCTTGTAAATAAATATTCGCGTGTGTATATTTTCACGTTTATTTACTAAGCATTTTCACACCGCCAAAATGTTTCCGATTTTTAACGGTACGCGAATCAGTCACCTGTAAGAATTCTTCTATATCTCCCTTTATTTATTCAATACCCAAGGCCATTTTATGTTATAGTCGCATACAAACGCAATAGGAGTATCAATGATCGATATTGTCTTTTTATCTAAACTCAAAATTTCTTCTACAGCATCAAGTAAGGAAGGAGAATACATTTGAGGTAACTCATCTGAGACGCGTATCGTTCCGGAGCAAGGCTTATACTTCATTGGGTTAGAATGGGGCACTTGGCACATGGGCTTGCACGCTCTTCCACACGAATCATATGCGGTTATATAAGCCGTGACGTCACCTATATCCGGGTTCTTAATGCCAACGTACGTCACTTTAGTCGACATGGTGACAGTTTCATCAACCACAGCATAATCTTTGTATCTTCCAGAATAATCAACACCATCTGACTGTACATATACTCTTGACGTACGATTATCTGAGATTATGCATTTTTCATGTTTCGCAAGTTCTAAATCTTCATCCAGCAATAGCTTGTCTAAAACATCTATTTGCATTTGGTCGCTTGCTTCTTTAGATGGTCGTTGATAAATTATTTTCACCGGAATAAAGGACCAAGCATCGACATCTCTTACTCCATCTATGACGAAAGTGTTTTCATAGTCTTTATGGAATAAAATATTGTTGTCACTTAAAATCTTTTTTACCTTTTTCGATGCTTTTCCCAGACTTCTTTTATGTCTTTCGCCTTTGTTGGCACTTCGCCGTTTTCTAAATAGAAGACCACTTAAATGAGACATAAATGGAATCTGAGGTACCTGCACTCTGCGTTGAATTCCTCTGGAATATACCCGTGGGTCCGTCAAACGTACTCCTGTTTGCGAAAGTAAGTTTCTAACTATTGAAGGCTCGGCAGGGACATACCCTATTTGACTGTTTATCTGTGAAGGAAAAAGTTCCGGATTTTCTATCGGAATGCATTCCCCTCTTACACAGCGGAACAAATACGGATTTCCACAAACAGGACAGGACGGAGGCGCTTCATACTGTACCAGATCTCCGAAGAAATCGCTATAACAATCAATATTTGTTAACGCAGGAAATCCGTCAACTCGGCGCATGCGATCGTGAAAGATACGCGAGGATTGTGGGTAATCTCTGGCAGGATTGATTCCATATTGTCTCTGCTTGTGTCTGAATTGTTCCCAAATGTAATCTATATGTGCGTGGAGACAATAGAACACGGGATCAGCTGTAGACGTTTCCGAGACGCCCATAGCGCCATCCAACCATGCATGGGGTCCATTGTGGATACCCTCAAGACTGAATATAGGCGATGCTGATCCCTCTGTGATCTGGAAGCCGTATATTTGAGACAGAACTCTGTTGATGACTCTTTGCGACAAAAGTGACCCGTCACTACCGATGTTTCTTGTCAGGGGTACTCCAAATGTCTGCCACCCCCTAAATGGACCGTTGATCACGAGCCCATTACCGTTTCCAAAATATCTTCTACTCCAGACGATAGATCTGGTGGGATCGATCATTTTGAAGTCTAGTGAGGTATCCCAATATGGAATAGAAACACCGAGAGCAGTTTCCACCCTGAAACATAAAGCAGTTACTTTGTTCGAAATCCAATTCACTAAAATGAGACACAAGGATTCTTTTATGAAACATCTTCTAATACATTAGATTTGATTTCTGTTTTTTACAACTAGAACTCGTTAATGGATTTATCAGATCATTTAAGTGACCTGTTATTAAAGTCAATCTATTTTATCACTGGTATTACAATACGATGATTCTTTGCAAAGAAGGTATTTTAATTGCAATTCAACATGTATTTCTAAATGAATTCAATCTAGCTTATAGTATAAGTCTTAAAAATTTCATAATATAATTATTGATATAAAGGAAGTGATTTTTAAGAAAATAAATAAGGAACAAAAATTAATAAAAAATAAAATAAAAAAATTGTGCCCAATCCTTTTGCAGAATTTATGACAATAAAATATGTTTAAAATAAAATACTAATAAGGAAAATATTTAAAAAGGAACGGGGAATTAAAAAGGGGGAAAAATATGGACAAAAATATTCTCAATAATTCTTTAAATTAAAACATCTTTTAAACAAATCACGAAGACTTGTTCATATGTAATGCTTACAACAACAGGTAAAGTCTGTGCCAGCCGTAGAAGTTAGGACCTCCATGTGCAGAATGTGATGCTATTCCCTGGTGAAAACTGGCCAGAGCGTCAAACCGGTTAGGAGAAACGTCCTAAAGTTGATAGAGAGAGAGGATATTAGAAGAAACGTCTTGTAATACATAAAGTCAGTAACTTCATTTAAGTCAACATATTACACCAATGCTTACCTTTCGATAAACAAAATATGTTCAACGACAACAAAAGAACTGAGGTTTCACTGTATACCGGAAAATTTTCACTGCAGTATAATTTTCATTTTCTTTTGCCCTCCGTAACGAGGACACATTTATCTTGTGGGAAAATATAGGGAAACAACACGATAAACAAAGTAATTAAATGTGAAATGCGAAATTTACACTGGGCGAAAATTATTTCAAGGGCGAAAATTTGACAGGGCGAACATTGATTTAATGGGCGAATGGCGAAAATTTGACTGGGCGAACATTTCCCGGTATACAGTATTGGTCTTGTTCTTTGTATCGAGTACTAATTTTGTTTTTGTTTGTCAAAGTTGCGGCAGTTGCTTATTTTACTCTAGTTTATTTACAAAACAATGATCACGATCATATTTCCCTTTTTTGCGCGAATATTTAGTTCAAGCATATATATTCTTGAGATTTAATCGTCTTAATATTCAATTATTTCAAATATATGCAAATTTGGACTTGTAACCGTGGCAACAATAATTGAAAACACAAATAAATATTTCTTTAATTGTATTTGGGAAATATTGAATATTAAAGAAACGTGCAGTTGTTAGAAAGCTAAATCAAATATGTTAAATTTGATGATTTTGGTTCCCAAACTTAACTTCATTTTTTTAATTACGAAAACAATAAACTTTTAAAGCTGAAAAGGACATATTTTACGAATTACCGTTTGCATTTTCAGCCAATTCATTCTTCCTACAAAGTCATCCCATTCTTGTTGAGACAGTGTCCTAAGTTCCCTTCGGCGCCTGCGAAATAAACTCAATGAGAGCTGTCTTTTATGTCGATGATTCCAGTGATCTCCTGAAACCTTCCTAAACAGTGCCCCAATGTAGGACATGGTTTCATTGGAAACCTCGTGATGGTATCTAGTTCCAGCGGTAACCCACAGATACTGGTTGATACAGAAACTGTTGATGTCTTGGGAGGGAAGCTCTGTTACACTGAGATTCCATGTTCTCTCAGAATAGCACGACGAAAGCTCGTCTGGCATTTTGATTGGCTGTATCAGACACGTGACTTCCGCTAGCAACACAAGGCAGCCAAGCATGATGGCAGACACACCTAACAGCTCCATGTTGATCGTCTGGATCACCTGAAATACCACAAAATATGCGTTTTTAAGGATCCCTGTACCACTGCTGTCAAAAACTGTAACCATATATTAGAAACTATTTTTTCAGACATGAACTATGAAATACCCCCAACCGCAATTGTGTCTTGTGTCAGCTGATAATATTGGACAGACATTGAAGCTTTAATAAATCGTTCCTGAAAAGAAACCATGACGCAATACATCTCTAGCACACACACAGGCATACACACATAGAGAGATATTAGCCAGGTGACATGGGACTAGTAGCTAGCGCCTGATACGGCAGCTCCTGCAAATTCCTCAAAAATTGTATTGATTAATGTATATGCGTATTGTATTGATTAAATAAATTGTATATCAATGTACTGTAAAGCGCTTCAGAGTGGCCTATTCTAGCTAAATAGGGCGCTATATAAAATTTTGTATATTATTTATTATTATGCATACCTTACGGGACAATAAAGATAAATTAGATGAGTGCTCAAACCATGATTCGAACCCTGGACGTCAGATTATTATACTGTTGTTCTAACCAACAGAGATTCCTGGTCTAGGAAAGTACTGTCCAATCGCGATACTGTTATGTTTAAATCGAAATTAATGGGAGGTGACTGTATATACGAAGTAAAACTAAGCATCGCAATATTTAGGATCCCCCGTGCCACTGCCAGAAACTGTTCCTGTTCATTTCAAACTCTTTACCGACATAACAATAGCGTCACTGATACGTCACTCTGATACGTCACTTTGTGAAAAGAAATGCATAACTATCAGCACTTTATGAGAGAGAAAAAAATTACAAAAGTTAAATAAACAAAAGTAAACGAAACAATATTAACGAAAGTGTTATGAGAAGAAAGAATAGATAAGACAAGACAGAGATCCGCACCTTTGACCTCAGAACACAATTAGGTCGCTATCAGCAACAAAGTTATCTGATGAGCGGTAGATCTCTGGCTCAAAACCCATACCTACAGTTAAAGCTAAAACGATAATAAGGGGAGGTTACTCTGTGTATGAAAAATAAAAATGGTGGAACTCTTTAGTGTTCTGTTTGAAGTGGTGGGGAAAAGGATCATTTACAAGAAATAGCAGCAAAGCAAGCATAAAACATCGGACGAAAAGACAACAGAGGAATATCACAAGTATTGGTAAAACACTGTACAAATAAACATGAATATCGGCGGTGAAATCATAAGCTTTTAGTTTCCTGCAATGCATAAAAATAACGTTATGGGGTCCCATGACAATTCAAATACAATGACATAGTTCTCAGCGATGGGGTCAAATGTTCGATGATGAGAAATAATGTATTAAATTACAAATAGAAAATAAAGAAGTAATCTAAGGTACAACATATAATCGCAATGATTAAACTATTTTGTTATGATAGGTAAATACAAATGAAAATGACTGATGATAAAGAATATAACTAAACCTGGTAAATTAGTATGAATTATTTTACAATCATACATATCTATTGCAAATATCAATAGATTTATTAAAAGCATGACAGTTGCCTTTAATGAGATCTTTGGTGTTTGTATTTTGACAAATGTAAACAAAATACAGTTCATAAGTCGCCATGCATATAATGTTATTTTAAATAGACATTAACAGTATTGTCAAATGCTTATTTGAGGCTACCGCAAAGGTTCTTGCGTGCTTAACGTACAAAAAATTATTCTGTTAAAACGGAAATGGAATCGCTTACAATATAATTTCATGTATGACACTCGAAATACATCTGCATACTTCCGTGTTGTATTTTAAGACTAGAAACCTAATGTAGCATAATGTTTTAATACTCTTGGCTTTTTGTTAACTTTGGGTAGGTCGTTGAACATTGTACTTTTTCTCATACGATTAACATAGCTAAAACGATGCTTAATTGGCTTTCGCAATATTTGTATTATTTCATATTGGTTAACGTTAATGAAACGCAATTACTGAAAAGGAACTTAAATACATTTTTTTTTTGTCAAATTAAAGTCATTATAAATAAATGAATGAAAGAATCAATAAATAAACGAAGTTTTGAATTTGCCATTAATCTAAAAAACATCATAAGACCCATATGTTCGTCCATAAGTCTTTCGATAGTATAAAATATATATGAAAATAGACCTAACATCAAAAAACTTTAAAAAAAAAAAAAGGCTAAAGAAAACAACAGTTTACTTTATTCCAGGGCAAAACATATACACTACTCCATAAAGTAAACAATTGGTCGAAAACTATTTGATTAACCGGTTGAATAAAAAAAAAGCTAACAATACTTGGATAAACGGGTCGCTAATGTTTATCGTTAAAATATTGATATATGCTAGGTGTCAATTTCGTAATTAATATACCATAATATGTTCATTGGGAGATGATTGACACTTGACATGTGATCGCCTTTGAAATAATTATCATAACATCCATTTAATCAGTCAACGTGTCGATTTCCGTTCTGTCATTGATCTTAAAGTTTACTACAATTCGTGTCAATTTCAGTAATATCAGAATTGAAAACACACTTTTTTTATTGTACAAACAAACATTCTATCAATTATCGAAAGTACGAATCATCAGTGAATATTGTCATTTCAAGTAATTGAATTCGTGTCTATTTAAATCATTTTAACAGTAGATACCCATGTCATTTGTATATACAAACATTCAATCAATTATCAAAAATACAAGTTATCTGTCAATATGGTGTAGTTTTTTCGGAAATTAAAATATTGATATTTAAACACTTGGATTTGTAGCAATTTGAATAATTTCAAGATTTTACGAACAACTCTTTTGTACATACAACCATTAAATTAGCAAGGAACTGAATGATCTAATGAAATGTTTGTAAATTAATATTTTAAACACTTTAGGTGATACGACAAACATTAGTTGATATTAAAGTTACATGCATATTCAGCAACAACTGGTTTCAGCCCCTGTTTCCTTTATATATCTACGCATAGAAAATATGTTTTTTTTGTGTGACCGGATCCATTCTTGTTGCTGTATTTTTGTAACGAGTATGCGTCGAGATTGTGCCATTGGTGTTTTTCCTTGTGTATGTTTCAATAAGAATATTGTATTGTAGGAACCGATCATCAAATTATGATTTCTTGAAAATTTATTGGATCAACTTTACCTTTTCTTCCTGGTTGCGGAAGATCATTGCGTACGACCTTTATCTAATTCATTGAAGTTTGATCTACATTTATCTATAAATGGCACTTCTAAAATCATAATTGATAGGCTCGTCTTTGAATCCTTAATGATTACCCACGTCAAATAAATCGACTGTGGTTCATAGTCGTGTTAAATCAATACGTGCGTTGAACCTTTCTCTGTTCACCTGACCTTTCGAGTAGAGGAAGCACTACGTTTGAAGCATTGATCTTTCCACTAAGTATTCTTTGCGATATTCCCATTATATTATTTGCTAGGAGATTAAAAATGCGTAACTAGAATTGTATCAACCTACTCCATTTAATAGTACTTCGAACTTCTTTGATATTACATATTGAATAAGTTAATTATGGCATGGGGATCCTAATGTGTATTCTTCATTTACCTATTTAATAGAATGTTTTACTTCCTCTAAATTAACTCCGATATGATAATGTGGCAGGTATTTATATTCTTTTATTTCATGTTATTCAATTATATCCCCTGCAACAAAGCTATATGGTAAAATTGAATCAGCTTGCCAGTCTGTCTGTCCATATATAAAATCTTGTCCTGACAGAGTCTTCTAAAGTAACAAGCCGATTTCATCAATACTTAATGTTGATGATTGGGTCATCATTTAGCATTTAGTTACGTACCTGACATTAATTTTTTCGGTTTGGCCTTATTTTCCCCAGAACTATTGCCTTTTTATCATTTCAAGCCCTGTTCGGCCAAATTTCCAAAACTTTTGTGACCAATTACAATTAAACTTTCTGGGAGTTATAGCAGGGGACCAACTTGTATTTTTGGGATTCAAGATGGCTTTCATTGCGTCTAATTGGTTGAGGCAATAACAGTTCTATGTTGTCTACTTTGTTGATGCCTTATAATAATGATATATATAGGACAAACTTCCTAAGAAAAAGCAAACTTTCAAATTTCGGAAATCTAGATAGCCACTATGGCCTCAGAGTGACTGAGACAATAACGGTTATAACTAAGAGTTCTACGGGCCAACTTTTTTATTCTTTTTGGGAGAAGTAGATTGGAAATATACTTCATATTAAAGGTCGACCTTTTAAATTTTGGAAATTAAGATATCCGGTATTACATCTGAATGGCTGAGTAGGATGGGGATGTGCGGGGCGAGGGACCTAGTATGCTGTTAGACGGCTTACAGTTTTAATAAACTTGATATCGACTCAAAAGTAGGTAACTGCTACACATTTGAAATTAAATACTTTTATTTTCTAAGAAGGTAATTATATATATTGCCTGTGGTAAAAATAATATTGTTCATTTTTGCTGTATAACAGATGATTTAAATTATTTTATCAGGCAAAACAAATTTCTACCATAAAACTATGCATATAAGTTATAATCATAGTAATAATTCGTCAGAATTTCTTACTGCTACAGCTTGGTATTTTAAGACCGTCTAGTGATCTTTTTTAAAGAATGTCATAAATGCTTAACATTTCTTTTAGAGCTATATATTTCTATCACTCTTGATATAATTGCATGCGGTCTTACCCTGCAAAGCTGGTCAACAATTAGCACAAAATTATATCGATTTTTACATTTTTTTCTTACTTTGATATTAATTGGAAATAGATGTTTGTAAACGTGGGTCTACTACATCTTGAGTTAATCAATACATATTAAGCTGATCAAAGCTACAAATGTGAAAAGAAATATGCAAATAATGAATTGGTCAAACGGAAAAGTAAGGTGAACTGGCTACAAAAATGCACGTCGCATTACAAATCGCTTATTAAACATGTATTCTGTATGTAATTAATTAAATAGGTGGTCACAGGTGGTACCACTCATTAGATATTCAAATAAAACATCGGGAAATTGTAGTTGGGTCGTATTTGTCTGGGCTATACAGATATTGCATGTCACTCAAAACATAAATGTCAATTTTAAAAAACCTCATTCAGTTAGACAAAAGCCAGCATCATATGCAAAATATCCAATCTATTACTCATGCACTGTTTGACTTAAAAAAAAGCATTCAACAGACGAATATGATTTTCACAGTGATTGAATATATGCCAAATATAAATACATTAAGTGACATTTCGACAATATCAATTTGATACATCCATATCAATGCAGCATGAAATAATGATGTATCAATATAACCATCTTGAATGTTTAATTGCTGGTCTGAAATAAAAATGCAATTTCCCAGTTTTGTTCAAACCAAACTATCATATAATCAAATTATGTAATTCTCTGTTAAACATATAAAGGGTGTCGCATACTTAAGACTTTTTTATGCACTTTCTGTTTCTGGTCCAGCTTACCATCATTTGTAATTTTATTCGGGTTATAAGGAATACTTAGCTTTTACTTTTTAATAATCGTTCAAACCTAACTTAATTATTAAACATTGTTTTCATCTATCAACTTTTTCAGTACAAGCATTTAGTCAAAGAAACGTAGTGAGATTGTTCATGTTAAGAGATAAATGTTAATCAAGATAAATATCAATCAAAATAGTCTCTTACCAGAATGCCTTTCATTTCATTGGACAATTTATCACTTTGATTTTATACGGAAAAGTTTTCAGGGTTAAAACCTAGTTTTATATAACATAAATCCTACCAAACGATGTATTAATAATTATAACTTTGAATAGACATGGATGTTTGGTTATCAACATAAACGTTTAACCTTTAAGCAATCTTTAACGGATTCAACTTGAAATACTTCAATTTAAGCACGGGGGTTCGTTATAAATGTCTAATAGACATAGGCTATACGTAACATGATTTAAGCGAAAAGATTGTTGCGTTATAACAGCGCCCTATAAGTATCCTTTGTAGTAATTTTTTTAAGAAATTGTTTTTTTTAAAGAGTATCTCACTTTGAAAATAATTTATGCTTGATAATTAATTTAATAATAATTAAAACGTCAGAACAAGACAACATCCGGGAGCATCCATCAAGGCTGTGGGGATAAAACATTTGCATTAACCCATTGACCGCAATCAAAAACCATTGCATAATAGACCACGTCTTTTAAGAAGGAAATAGATTTTCTGATTATGTTAATGCAAAGCTCAGTCATTTTTATATATATCTTAGAATTATTTCATCTTTTTCTGTTTAGGGAAATGCCAAGAAAGGGGTTTAGTGAATTTCCCTCGAAAGAAAGACGTTTTAATGACTAGCGTTTAATATAAATAGTATTGTATCTGACGTCATAGAGGTAACACGTGCATGTAGATTATGTAATTGAAATCATCATTTTATGGTGTAGGCGGGAAATAATTGAATATGCAGTAGTCTCATTTATTATTCATCTTACCAATCATACAATGCAACATGTGCACAAGAAGTATGCACGTAATCATTAAAGGTGTTTCTTGGAGCCGTTTATGACATCACTGTGTTTCGTTTGAACCGCTGAATACATTTATACATCTGGCTCAAAGACAACACGGAAACACTAGCATAACATATCCATTTAGTACTAGAGTTCAGTAACATGGTCCATATTTAAAAGAAACGCTTTGAAAAGTGTACATATTTTTACATGAATATAAAATACACAATCATATAATTGTTTTTCATTGCAATGAATTGTACTCGAATGAGTTTTAGGAATAATTGTATGATCCTATTTCTTCATTTTCTTTCTGAAGGGCTAGACTATTCAATTGATTGCAACTTCAAATTGATGCTGTGGAGGTTATGAATTAATTTTAGTCGTAAAAGACCATCGAAGTAAGTACGTGACAATGAAAGGGAAAATGACTTTTATACATTGATACCTCAGCAGAAATTAACTTTCCTTTTCAATGTAACTTCAGTATAAACATGTAAAACACATTTAATGAATTATCATTTTAATATGGATAATCATTTAAATATACATAATTGAACTGCACACAGCAAGACTTGCATCGATTTCGGTAGCTACAAGTGCACATTAAAACCGGAAGTATTGATGACAAGAGTTATGTGTTCAATCGGGGTTTTTTCTAGCTTAACGTATTTCATGATTTCTTAAAAAAAAATTACATGTGTAAATGCATCATGTGATCATATTTGTATATTGTACGACTTTGGAGTATTACAACTCACAAATGCACGACGCTCAAAGATGGTTAGGCTATAACTGCAAGATCACCCCTAATAATAAAAAGCCAGACGTATTCCAAAACCACTAATACAAATACCTCACAAAATATTTGATGTGTAATTTTTGTAAAATTGTTAAATATATACACTGACACATAACTCATTAATCTATAACAATTTAAAGATTCTATAAATTTTATAAGATATCTGCAAGTTTGCACGATTCTTAAAAAAAACCAATTAAAGCTCTTGATTTTTTATAATATGAAATGCTTTTTACGTATTTTGTTATATACATTATAAACATTATTACATTTATGACGTTAATACCTACATAGAGTATTAAAACACAGCAAGATGACATGACATCTCATCATAAAAGTACTAACGACAAAGGTTTAATTTGATTACGTTTCCCTAGCTATATATGTTTCGATGATCTTTAGAGGATATGAAAAATATTGCTTTTATCTTTATATTTATACATAACAGCCCAATGATAAGTTTACACTTCATAGCATGACATAATAACAAGCTAATACCTCTAAGATAAACATACTTACGACAAGGATTCTGTTCAGTGGCTTTCCCAGCTATGAACATTTAATTATCATTTCACCATATATACACGCAATATAAATACACATGTGTAACAAGGGGATAGTGATAGCTGTATGCAAATTATCACACGTCAACTCCATGTCTCTCGTCAATTTGTGACTGACAGTAGGTGTCAAATATGTCTCTCCACTACCCCCACTAAAACCATAAACTATGACACATTCGTGTCTGTCGATGATAAGCAAAGAATATGCATACGACCAAGTTGTACATTGTAAGCAATAGTTTGTGGGTTTGTGGGATTTCATTATTTTGACGGGCCGTTTCTGCGGGTGTAATGATTTATCGTGGATAGTGCTAGGTCATTGAGTCCGTATCCTCCTTTGTTGTGACGCATATTCCATATTTGAAACCATTTAATTGCATACACTCTTAATGCATTGCTTATAGAACATATGCAAACTTACCGATACATGATGTAATATTTGCCATTAAATTCAGTGCGTACGAAGTGAATCTAATTGTCCTGTTTTTTTGGGGGAGTGTGACTGAAATATTCAAGCGATTTTCACCAATCGTCTTTTCTTACTCAAACCAAAGAGTCATTCTAAATAATCTCCGGAAATCCCAAACTGAAGTTGAATTTGAAACTGTTCCATTATTCACAACAACAACAAAAACCGTGCAAACATCATTTATTGTAGGTCCTGAGAACGGCTCGGGAAGAGTAGTTTTAAAAAGAAGGTGAAAATTTGGTTTATGTTAAGCTAACCATTTCACCTGAAAGAACCGAGGGATCATATCAGTTTTCGAAACTGAGGATGAAATGTATACGCATCTTATCATAAGACTGGTGCCTCCTTTTCTTCCAAATATCTTCTTTGGAAGTAATCTTAATACAGACTACCAAAACTGCCAAACTAGGGAGGCCCGTGTACTTAAAAACATTTGGAACAAAACACCATTTACAAATGCCTATAAGTATTTAGTATAAGTAGGATAGTCATTATTTCAATTATATTACAACCAATGTATAATGAGTCATTGCACTTATTTTTAATTGTAATTTCATTTTTCCCTTCGAATTGTTCCTATATCTGAGGTTAAGAGAAATTTAATAAGGGAAATTCTGGATTTAGATTTGTCAGAATCAAATTTCTAGAAATGTCCGTTTTCAGATTTGTTCAAAATTAAAGTCATTCATTCTATTAAAGCATTAAGCAGCTGCTGCTAAAATGTGACATTATTACTCAACTTAATTATTATATTTTGTATTCATGAATATCTTTCTATTCTACACGATACATGAATTTGCCTATTAAAGAATTTTGCTATAATTTATATAAACATGTAGATTGATTCTAACCATTTCTCATTATATTCACTAAAAGCAAAATTCTTCCTGTGGAAATTGTAAAGAAAAGATGTAGATATGGTGCTTCCTTCTTTGCTATCAGGGGCGTTTCTAGGATAGTTGAAAGAGGGGGCGTAGAATCAAATTTTTGGACCTTTTTTTGGCAAAAAAACCCTAAAATAATTGTGAAATGCACTAATGTAACGGTTCCTGACTTGGNGCTATCATACTCGGAATACCCTTTTATTTACCTCTACTCCTACTTAAAGTAAAATGCCATAGTAATAATAACTAACTTTACTAATTGAGGCTAATCTCGGTCCTCTTGGTAGTAAAATATTTGATTTTTTTGAAATTTACTTATTTACTCAATCAACATATATAAAGTTGTATCACAGTTATTTTAATTAAGAATATCAACGAATAATTAAAGGAAGAGCATTTCGTCAGTAAATTGATTTATGACTAATGTATCAATGAAAATACATTGCTATCTGCTAATATATATATATTGTAAGATATTGAAGTATGGCGTTGAGTAAGATTGTGTTCAAAATTGGCAAGCCAGTCATTTTATTTTAGGCCACCAACCAAATTATTCCACTCTTTTAAAGAAAAAGAAAAAAACATTATGAGTAAAAGCTCTGTACATGCATATCTTGTAGTTCTATTGTGACCATCTCTCACAAGAAACCCATTGTTAGACAAATATACAGGAAGTTCCGAATGATGACACGTCTTTCGCTTGCGTAACCATCTGAATACATAATATTTGCCAGGTGACTTCGACCAAAGGAGTTCAAACACCTGACTGGTCGTTGTATCAATCGGTATATCTAAATGATTTTAGATGCTTGTTTCTGAGTCTTGAGTAGCATTGATTAAAGTTCCATTTCGACAATGACTGTACATAAAATGTGGGAAAGCAGGATTTGGCAGAGGAAACGACTTATTCAGCCAGTATATATGGGCTTATACATCGCATTAACCCTAAAACTTCAGCGTTATTCTTAATAATTAGTCTTACTATTATCGTGTTAAGGATTAGTCCACGCGAAAAGGTGATAATCCCCGAAGTCGAATGCCAAAAAAAGGTGATAATCCCCGAAGTCGAATGCCAAAAAAGGTGATAATAACCAAAGTCGCATGCAAAAAAAAAGTTTCGTAGTCCCGCCCAATATGTTTATGGTATACTTGTTAATTTTCATATAACAAAGCAGTTATGGACTTTTTTAATGTTAATACGGGGATTTTTCGACCCGAGTTGACGAAGACCAAGGAAAATATCAGCTTCTGAGGGTGGATGAAACCCCATTACACCACAAACAGACAGGGCCACACAACACATTTTGGCCCCAGATGAATATTAAAATTCTTGGGGAAGGGGGACAATCTTTTCTAACTGTATTATTACACAACAAAACATCATTCCAACAAATTATAATGTATGTCTTCATAAAAGTATGGTGGCTGATTTGTGCGATTCTTTTATCTCGCCTTTTCGACACGAAAAATAGAGATTAAGTCGTTTTTAATTCTCGCTGTTTCGTCTTTTAGTAGCGAAAAGACAAAAAAACGAGAATTAAGATTAGTTCTTTCTCCTCTTTTCGGGGCGATTGGTTTATGTTAATTCCCCTTTTTTTTCTTTAACAGACATTACAACGAATTGATACAATTCCGCCACAAAATTCTTCCTGTGGATTTTGTAAACAAAAGATGTAGTCATGGTGCTTCCTTCTTTGCTATCATACTCGGAATACCCTTTTATTTACCTCTACTCCTACGTAAGGTAAAATACCATTATAATAATAATTAACTTTATCAATTGAGGCTAATCTCGGTCGTCTTGGAAGTGGAACATTTGAAGTTTTGAAATTTGCTTATTTACTCAATCAACATATATAAAGTTGTATCACAGTTAGTTATTTTAATTCAGAATATCAACGAGTTATTAAAGGAAGAGCATTTCGTCAGTAAATTGATTTATGACTAATGTATCAATGAAAATACATTGTTATCTGCTAATATGGCATCATCTAAATTAGATTGATTTAATTAGAATAAAAAGTTATTGAAGAAAGTGTCAGTTTAAGTTACAAGGAAAAATTATGAAATTGTAAGATATCGATGTAAGGTGTTGAGTAAGATTGTGTTCAAAATTGGCAAGCCAGTCATTTTGCTTCAGGCCACCAACTAAATTATTCCACTCTTTTAAAGCAGCAAAAAAAACATGATGAGCAAAAACTCTGAACATGCATATCTTGTAGTTCTATTGTGACAATCTCTCACAAGAAACCCATTGTTTGACAAATATACAGGAAGTTCCGAATGATGACACGTCTTTCGCTTGCGTAACCATCTGAATATATAATACTTGCCAGATGACTTCGACCTAAGGTGTTCAAACGTCTGACTGGTCGTTGTATCAATCGGTATATCTAAATGATTTTAGATGCTTGTTTCTGAGTCTTGAGTAGCATTGATTAAAGTTCCATTTCGACAATACCATATGACTGTACATAAAATGTGGGAAAGCAGGATTTGACAGAGGAAACGACTTATTCAGCAAGTATATATGGGCTTATACATCGCATTAACCCTAAAACTTCAGCGTTATTCTTAATAATTAGTCTTACGATCATACAATTATTAACGTTTTAAGGATTAGTCCACGCGAAAAGGTGATAATCCCCGAAGTCGAATGCCAAAAAAGGTGATAATAACCAAAGTCGCTTGCAAAAAACAGTTGCGTAGTCCCGCCCAATATGTTTATGGTATACTTGTGAATTTTCATATAACAAAGCAGTTATGGACTTTTTTAATGTTAATACGGGGATTTTTTGCTGACTTAAAATGCTACTGGTTTAGTCAATTAATCTTTGCAATTTCTATTAAAATTAAGGGATATTACATCAGTCAATTACGAGAGTTTGAAAAGAGTTTAAGCCTGACTACGTTAAGCTTATCAGGCTTTAAAATAGAGCTCTGTCTTTAACATTTTGGATCATCGTGAATAAAGCGCTGTTAGCTTAATGATATGATGAGCAAAACATATCAAGTAAAAAGATTTTTGCAGCATTTTTTAAAAGACATTTGACAGAAATTTCGAAAATATGTTTCATGTTAATGATTATGAATTATTGGACATATATTGCCCAGAGTTAGTAGCGACTTATAATCGATTCAATGTCACGGCCATTATGTGTTAGGACAACATAGGATGACACGGCAGAAAAGTTGTATTTATTGTGACCTTTTAGGTATATTTTTTTGAAAAGTTTCATTGTAAGAGCTCCGTCTTTAGAATCCCCTATCGTTCACGAATTTTCTCAAGATAAACATATTCTTTTATTTAATGCTTATTTCTTTGTTATAACTCATTCACGTATTTCAATATACATTCCTTAACGTTAACATAAATCATATAAAGACGCCTTACACAAAATATCATCATCATTTACAACCACTACGTTATACCGTAGTAAAATAGTGTCAAAACTGGAATCAGGTATTAATATGTATACCTCTTAATTTGAATATGAAAAACATCATCTATAGTTATAATGTACATTATGATATATGTCACGTCATTGAGTGTAGTACGTACGAACTTAACCGTTATACATTACAGATAAAACTAGGTCAAATTTAAATGATCCCAGAAGTACACAGCTATATATATATGCACTATCTTTTTATTATACGCTATCTCTTAAATCTACCTTATATAAGGGATGCCAGTGGAAGTACATTATCGACAAAATCACATACAATCAAATGCAAAACATATTTAACATTTATATAATTATATTAAAATAAAATAACTGCTGTTATTGTGAACTTAGATATTTTCGTGGGACCCAAACTTCGTTGTTTACCGACAAAACACCATTTCGTGGGTACAGGAATTCGTTGAGTACACACTGAAACGGAGAACTGCTATATATCATACTTAATACTACTTCGTGGACGTATGAATTCTTAAATGAATATTAACGACGGAATCAACCCTACGAAAATTAATGATTTCACAGTATGATAGCAACAGTTGTTTATAATCACTGATAAAATGTGTACATGTATGGAATTCCGAGGCCGCGGTGGCCAAGTGGTTAAGGCGTCTGACACTCTGCTACCACTAGCCCTCCACCACTGGGTTGCGGGCTCGAGTCCTAAGTGGGACAGTCGCTTGGCACTGGCCGTAGGTCGGTGGTTTTCTCCCTAGAAACTCCGGTTTTGCTCCCCCCTCAAAACCTGCCACGTCCTTAAATGACCATAGCTGTTGATATGGCGTAAAACACAAACAAAACAAATAATGAATTCCATAACTTTTCATAGTGTATTTAAGTCTCATTTCCGTGAATCTGCATAAAACCAAGACTGACAAAATACAAATATCTCAAAGCTAATACTTGTTTTACACCATTTATGTCTGACAAGAAAGTTTTCGTTCACATAGTGTGAAAGCGAGTGTGGTACTGTTTCACGACATCTGGTTTTATCAGGAAGAATTGAGCCCACTGTTCGCCCACAAACTTATCAGGTAAGAGTAGTTCGAAAAGCATTGCTGAAGATGGCCAAACCATAATTGTTATGCATGCTAGTCGTTCTCGGGCTATTTAGTGTCAAAGCGACAGAGCATTTAAAAAAACCGAATACTGTTAAATGATCCGAACTATCTTCAACAGGAACTACATCAGATACAAATACACCTGCAGGATTATGAGGTTACTAAAAACCAAGTTACCAGTCTCAGTCGAAAGTTACGTCACAGGAATCCCAATTATCCGCACTGAGATCTAAACTTGCAGCTGTTGAACCGAAAGTTTCTACACTTCAGCAGAAACATAACACTACAACATCATTGAAGGCAAAACTTCAATCTGAGTTTTCGACAAAGGACTCCGGGATAGCCCCATTTCAGTCAAAGGTTTCCACCCAACAACATGAATTGGTCGTCCTTCAGTCGAAGGTAGCGGCACAGGAACTAAACATTTCCTCGATTCGATCTAAACTCTTTGCTGAGTAATCTAATATTTTTATATCTTCGAACAATCGTCACCGCAAATGTGTCTGAGTTTCCAATGAAACTAGCTGCTCAGGAATCGGAAATATCAAACTTGAAATCGCAAGTACAATCAGAACAAGGTAAGATATAGTGCTAATTCTTCAAGACGTGTTGTGAGGTAAATGAAATTTTAAATGGATTTTTTTTTATTTTATCTTTATTTCTTTTTCGTGGGGTTCTAATTTTTGCGATAAAAAAAGTTTCAACAAAAAGATAATTCCGCAAAATCCGTAGCAAATGAGTCCATCCTTACTAAACATTACTTGCTATGGCCAATAGAACCGATATCCAGGAAAAAAGTACCCATTCACTTTGATCTTTTAACCAAAATCGCGGAAATTAGGAACCGCAAAAACACCTTTTAAGTTATATACAATCATAAAGTTTATGAGGTGAAAATGAAGATGTGTCTAACCGAAAAAGACAACATTCATATAGTCTGAGAAGGGATTCTATAAAATGATACTGACGGAATATTACTTTTAAAAATAAAATGATACTGACGGAATATATGACATGAGAAATTGGAAACAGTCAAATTGACGGGTAAAACATTGCACTATGTATGAAACTATGAATAATCTTTTTATTTGGTTCGTTTATTTACTTCGCATGTAAAGAACATAAAAAGAAAATTCCGAGAAATCAAAGTTTTACTTTCTACGCAATAAACTAGTCGCAACGTTCCAAGACCGAATGGTCCCTTTGTCAAGCTATGACTGAGTGGGCGTCGCGATACGATTAATACGTACATTGTTTGTGTAGAAAGTAAAACTTGCATATCACATATTTCCAAAATGATGAATCTTATTGAAAATACCGTGAAAGTCCGCTAAAGGAAGAGAGCAAAATAACTTAAATATAGTGGTGGTCTTTAAAGATAGTTTAATAAAATAACACTTCATGATTATAATTCTATTTTGTAGGTGTATTATTGAAGTTATTGTTGTCTCGATGAGACAATTTTCACAGCATGCTCATGTTTGCTATTTTATTTAAAAGCATGACAATTGCAATCATGGTGCGATTGTTTCTGGTATATTCAGATTCATACTGAAAACTAAAACTCGCACATCACTCTACCTTACAAAGCGCGTTCTTCCAGGCATTTCTTTTTTCCAAAAAATGATATTCATATATATAATGCAAGCTTTCAGATTCTCTTATAATGTGTCAACAATGTTATCCGGAAATTCCTTTTCACGATTTGTTATACAGGTGACAAAGGGGCAGTATTCGTTCGTTGGGGGAGGAACGACTGTCCTAAAGAAAACGGAACAAACCTCGTCTACTCAGGTTAGCACGTGCTCGCTACAAATGTCTAGCTTAAATGTAGTATTTTGTGATACGTTATTCATATATGTTTATGAATATATAAACAAAAGCAGATAAAATGTGAACACATGTATGATTTTGCTGCACTGATGCCTTCATTTGTCAAAATCTTATAATGCTGCTTATAATGATAATTTAAGAATGCATTTGTGAGAGAGAGAAAAAATAAATCAAGAAAATAATGGAAACAGACATACGGACATGCACGTGATACTGACAACGTCATTTCATACAAATGTTGTATTAAATATTTCCTAATCGAATAAGAAAACATCTTACTCAGATATATGAGAAGTAGTGCAAACGTATATAACGACCATTTGATTAACAGGTAAATATATGCTAAATTAAACAAAAAAGAGGAAAGCATATGCATGTCTATGAATGAAACGTACGGTTTGTCTACCAACTGAACCTATATGGGGACCCCACAAAAACATCCAGCCTTACAACCCTGCATATATGTATGGTGCAGAGTATGAAGATGCGCTTCTATTCAACATGCCAAACCAGGATGAAGACGTGCCATGTGCCGTTTGCAGAAGTTCCTTCCATTCAACGTCAATCATGATCCCCGGGCGTGCGCAGTGCTACCCGGACTGGGTTAAAGCCTATCGTGGCGTTCTGTCAGCTGGAAGTGTTGGCTCCCCAAGTCCAACCCCGTACGCATGCGTCGACGAGAATCCACAGGCGCTGACAGGGGGAGGAATTACTAACAGCGAAGGGAGACTACTCTACCAGGTTAGGACAGTATGTGGTTCTCTACAGTGCCCTCCATTCGAAAACGACAAAGTTCTCTCTTGTGTCTGCTTAAAATGAATTACGATAATGACCTGATGATTATCAATTATTGGAATCACTGACAATTCTGAATTATAATTAAAGATAAAACATTATAAATCAGCCAAATGTTTACTTTGCAAAAAACTGAAATGGGAAAATCATAAGGGTTAATACAATAAATAGTTGTTACATAGTAAATATGTATACAAATAAAATTATATTTGAAAACACATACATGCCTATTACTACTATGGTATATATGTATATTGAAATTATTCAATGTATATAATTGTTACTGTAGGTTGTATTTATACATTTATTTTCAAGTCAATTTTCCCATTCATCACGTCTCTCACTAATTTCTTCGCATCAACTGCAGCTTATTATAATTTAAGATATTCAGATGGGTGTTTATACATTCAGATATATGTTAAGTCATTTTGACATTGAAATCATACCAACCTCAACTAATCTACAAATAGTTATTAATATTATGTAGTGTACATTGTTAAAAAATATTATATTTTAAACCGCCTCAACATATTAAAAATCTTCGGCGTCAAATCGATAGCTCATTCAGCAATCATATTCGTTAAAAATTGCAAAGCAATAAACATATCATATATTTTTTTAATTTAACATGAAGTAAAGAATTACCAAAGCAGCGAAGAAAACAATTATATACTTTTGTACATTTTTTTGAAAGACCGGAATTACAATAAAAACATATGAGAGTTTGGATGTCGGATGCGGAACAGCAAACACACACCACGGTCATTTCAGAGATAACTCAAACAGTTCAGTGCTACCATTCCTATTGGTGAAATAGTTATAGTCAAAACATATTGTTAAAGACATTCATTCGAATATAAACATGAAAAAATATTGAATTTGGCAGAAGTTGCTGACGGCGAAATTGCCCGACGCAAAAACAAATCCCAGCAATTTGATAAACTTAGCAAATCCGCGAAAATGTTGGACCACGAACAGAATTTAGAGTATGAATTACTTGTCTAGAGTACTATTTTTCTTTTCTTTTATTCTCCGTACATTCTTTAAATATTTTCTTTTAATATAAAAAAAAAAACGATGCTTGAGACTTTCGAATCGTCAACACAATCATGATTTGAACTCAACTTCGATAAAACAATGGCAAAATATGAACAAATGAAATATAAACATTGAGACCATTTAATAATTACAAGGAGAATAAGACCAGGTTTTCTATATTATGTAATGCATGCATTGACGAATACTCTTACTGTTTGGATATTGACAACGAATTATAATTCAAAATGGTGTAAGAATTCGCAATGACATAATATCAAAATATCTTGTGACAATGCATCTGGTATTGGACAGATTCTACGACCGATTTGTAACTAGCTTTGGTTTATATATAGTGCTACCACATATTTATCAGCTCATGTACATTGCTCATTGAGTTTCCAGGTCTTACTAAATTCAGTGATATTCCTTGAAATTTTGCCAGTAGACGCCATCAAGTCATTATATGGTTCGTTGTCATAGGTTCCAAACAATCCACCTGTCTTTCCATGGTACCATCCACTCAGAGAAAAATGATATGATTCTGTTTTACTGTTATGCTGCAAACTAAATCCACTTCCGGTCAGGATGATAGTACCACCGATTTTTGTGACGTATACATCGTGACTGCGGTATGGTAGTATGACCAAGGCACCATCAATGCGGACCTGTAACAAAGCATAATGTGTACAAATACAGACAAAATATAATAGTAGCTGAACTCAACTTGGTCGATCGCCGTCGATCAATTAGTTAGAGCGTCAATCTAGAGTTCGGAGGTCCCGGGTTCGATCCCCGTCTGGTCATGGATTTTCCTTTTTTCTACTACTGTGGTGTCTGTAACCAAACCTTGTTCCAAGTAAGGGTGTTTGCTTGGCAAAGGGGTATCCTTACCTGGATAGTAGATAGTGTTCTATTCGGGGGCGAAAACTTTACAGAGAGGAATATAGCGAAACTGGACTGGGTCGATCGCCGGCGACTAGATAATTCAATTGGTAACAAACGTTTGTTCCGGGTTCGAATCCCGGTTTTGCCAAGCATTTTTTCCTCTCCTGTTAGGAGCTCAACGAAAGACAACAGGAACTGACGAGACAGTTTGGTAAAAGAAAATACATCATACATCTCCCAAAAGAATATATGCTATACTTCTTTAAACTTCAAAGATGAAGGTATGCTAGCAAGGTATTTAAGTTTGCTATATTTTCGGACAAAAGAATAACTTAGAGATAAAATATTAATCGAAAAAAACATAGATTAAAAATCAAAAGCTTTATCAACTAACATACGTATTAATCAACGTCAATAAAAACCGGAAGTTATATTTTTATCAAATAAAATAATTTAGAAATTTGAATGGATTTATCTGTGGTAGTACGCCAAATAAATATCAGCAATTATGTTCTGATGCTTGAAATTGAAGCTTTTAGTAACGCAAAATTGAATAACTTTACAAAATCAGGAAAAAGAAAAGTTTAATAACCCGGAATTAATCACTGCAAGTAAAACAGCAAAACAAAAAAAAACGACGTTAACAAGATACATGTCGACCTCTTCAAAATCAACAAAGTGAATGCAATACACAAACCTGTTTCCGAGGAGAGATTTGAACTGTGTGTTGGTGTGTTGTTAGCACGATCTTCACTCTCTGTTTCCCCTGATTCTCCATATAAACAATGAAGTTTCCATCTGTCAAATCTCCAACCAGGAGGTAGTCACATTTGCCTCCAATGGTGTAAGTAGTTCCGTCAAACGTTTTGACCAGCCCATTCGATATAGAAGCAGAGGCTGTAATTCAAAACAAACTTCGCTTTACATGTACATAGTACCTTAATGATTTTACCTTAACAAGACTCAGTCGTAAGTATAAGATAATGTATAATTTCTTATGCATAAACAATGCTTGTGTTTTGGGGTATCCTTCTAGGGTATCTTTCAAATAAGTTATCAATTATTCATTTTTTATAGACATTTCATGAGTATATGCTACACACGTGGCAACATTTAAGTTAGGTTTACCGTTGTTTAAAATGTAGTACTTAAAACCCCGTTAATTCTGCAAGAGATATATTTTTCTGTTCATTTGGCGAGATTCGTTCTCGAATTTAAATATTTCCCTATGTTAGTTACATAGATATTTACATAACATCTTCTTCATCGCGTATAATAGTATCCGCAATTAAAATATGATGACTAGTTTGCGAAGTTCAATTTTTTTTTAATGATAATAAACTTTATTTATTTTACAACAATGATGAAACAAGTTATTTCAACCTATATTAATCACTCTTGTTGGCCCGGATGTTAGCGCCTGGGGGGTCTTAATGTGGGAGGAAACCGGAATACCCGGAGAAAACCCACGTGATCGGGCAGGTGAGCCCAACCTTTTCACGTCCGATCGGGGAGTCGAACCCCGGCCGCTTTGGTGAAAGGCAAGTGCGCTATCCACTGCACCACCTGACCACCCTGACCACCCTTTCTTTATCAACTTAATAAGCTTAATTACAGACAAAACCATTTTTCAGACGGCTAGCGTAAAAATATCAAACATGTAAACCAAAGGAAATTAACTTTTTCTGAATTCCTTGTGTTGATGCTCCTTTTCCCCTTCCGTTGTTTGATTAAGAATCTATCGCGAATCCCTTCCTCAATCAATACCTTGCTCATTACCAGCTATAAGACGCCAGATAGCTGTATTGAAGGTTTCGTTTATGCATAAATGTGAGTATTATACCAGACATGCATATTTCATTTTCAGTTTAATGATAGTGAAATAAGACCGACTAAGCGATTGCCTATATGTGTCATTTAGCAAAGGAAAGATGATCTTTAGACACACATAGGACATTTAAAAAAAAAAAACCGGTACAGTATGCCAAAACTAAACTACACTGCACGTTACCATTTTTCAGTCCTACTTGGACTCGTCGTTGATGCTAGGGACCAAAGAGGTGGAAATTCAAATTATTGATTAAGATTGGTGATGATTTTTATAATAATACCTGTAAATGGTGGAATGAAAGATCTCACATCAACTTCAAAGAAATCTTGCAATATAGATGTAGCTTCTCTTACAGATCCCATCATTGACGTCAATCCAGTGAAGTAATGTGTGAGGTTGACATTTGGAAGGGATTTCAATGAATCCACACCCATGGGCAAGTGTACTTCAGTCTCGAGCTCACCAATAACTGGGTCAAACAGAACAACACCTGTCGATTGTAAGTCACTGAAGGCCTGTTTTACATTATCTATTCTCCTCGTGACGTTTGATCCGGAAAGACTAGCGAATGCATTTATGGCATTCCAGACATCAGCCCATATGTGCCGGAAGGCTGTATACTTAAAATCAATTAAATCTGTCATTGCTGCAGTTGAATCTGAAAGATAAACATTATGCGAGGGATTAATGTAATATCTAATTATAATGAAACAGCAAATAAAGTAAGTCTTATTTATACTTGTAATAGTAAAGTATGATTTTGAAACGTCTTCATTAATAAGCATAAAGTTGTTGTTTTATGGCTTGCATATTCAGAGGAAAGAAAATGTGTTTCGCTTCAGAAAGAGGCGCAACTGATGTCATGAACAATCTAATTAAATGCACGTAAACGTCTTTGTTGCCTGCGTCTGTCGAACCGGAACTTACAAAACGAGTATGAAATTGTTGTTTTCTCTGTATGCAGATATCGGTCATATATGTAAAGCATGCAAACAGCGCCAGCTACCAATTAACAATTATCAACATCACTTAAACTTGTGACGTCATAAAATTACCTCTGACGTAATCGTGGTATTGCAAAACAGAGACATAGCCGTCTTGTAGCGTTCGGGGAAATAAGCGAATCTTTGCAGCTATTTGCCGTAGTACTTCTTGTTTCGTAATCTACGAATCCAAAGGAAGAACGCATTTAAGTTCAAATCAAATACAAAATATCGTTAAAGAAAGAGAAGTGTCAACTACGAAATGTTCAAAATTGAAACATTCTTTCTTTGATCAAACCGAATACCTTATTTGACTTTTCCAGCCATGAATAAATTATGCGTAAAATGTGCCGTCGCAATGAAATTTTTGTATTTCAAACCGTTTAGGCGTCATAACTTTTATTTTCCGTGGTGATAATTAAACACAAAAATGGCCGTTAAAAATGAGATATATTTGGATGCAGACAATTAAACGTCATGTGATCATTAAAACAAACAAATTTTCACCAGAATACATCTTTTTAAGAATCTAATTTCACAATCAATTTCGAAATATGTTTCTGAAGTAAACAGTTGCTGTAGATTTCAATTTGAAAATGAATTTCCTCGAGAATTATTGCGAAAATTTATACATTAAAAAACGCAAGCGTTTACAGCAACAAATCGATAAAAAAAATATCTATAATAATGACACGAGTTCTCCAAACCTCCAGCATTGCACATTCTGACTGAATGTATGTATCAACAATAGCCTTGTTGGGGTATGAAACATGTACAGAAGCAGCAGTTTCCATCCAATTTGAAAACTCGTCGACTCTGTTTATTGCTGTGGTGTAATGCTGTCTGAAATAATAAGGATAACAAAGCTGTATCAAACCTTGACAAATATATAGGAGTTTTTAAGCATCATTATAAAATCATAATTTCTGAATGAAACGATTTAATGGTCGTATGTTACCTTTAAGTGACATGATTCTTACTTCATATTTTGTAATCCGTTTTACCAACGTTTTGCCGTAAAACATTTCAAGGTACATAAACAAATTATTGATTTTTGACGAATCACAAAACAGAGTTATATCAACCACTTAAATAAAGATACATTAAAAAAAAACAATAAAGAAAAAAAAAACTTATCCAATTTATAAACTTTCATTCGCAATTCTCAAACATTCTTGGCAATAAATGAAACATAAACCACCTAATGACTACTTACGATACACGATCAATCAACAAATCTACGACCGCCATGTTCATGCTGAAATCGGCCATTACGTAGTCCTGGTTTATTCTTGTCTTGAGAACGACAATGCTTTGTTGAACTTCCCGCATCTTATCGACAGACAATCGTGAAATAGTGGCAAGTTCTGAGAAGGTATATTGTCTAATGTAATTATATTTTGAGTCGATTTCTTCACTGACGGAGTTTCCCAGATCTCTCAAAGGCATAGAAATGTCAGAGAGTGTTGTTAAGCTTAGTCCATAGTTCTGTAAGGAAAATAAAAATTCTTTATAAACTCAAAGTGATTTGTTTTCTTTGTAAATTAAAGAATAAATATACATTTGTTAAAAATCAAAATAATACTTTAACTTTGTCGAAAAACAATAGTAAAATACGAAACGATGAAACTTGTCATTGTCATTTTCATCATTGTGTCTGCACATTGGTAATTTTTATTAAATATGAACATTTCAATGTTTTACATACAACGCTTGTTACATCAAGCATCGATTTTGAAATTTAAAAAAGGAAAATAGCCAATATTAATACCGTTATATCCTGGACAAGAGCAGGTCTCCAGTTTATGCTTGTGCTAATTATTCTGGAGGAATGAAGTCGCATTGTAATTGATGTATCATTTACTCTTCCTGTGGAATATTCACGGTAAATGGCAGCCCTCATAAAAGTGTCGTTGATAAAATACACTTCAAGGGAAATAACTCTATCTGGAATTTCTGCAAAAATAAAAATCTAATTTCTTAACCTGCGTTTGGTTATTTTTGTTAACCTTTTCATATATATTTTCTGTCGAAGTTGGAGATCTAGCTATGATACATATAACATTAATTGATGAGGTTGTAATATTAACTACCAACGCCTGCCATGATACCAATAGCATTACTGTAACTGGGTTGTATGGGGGGGGGGGGGGAGGTGTTACGGTGACTTATTTTTCGAGGTTCCTGTTTTAGCTCCAAAACAGTCTCTTTAAACATCACCTTACGGTAGTTATCTACATTCCTTTCTAAGGAATTGCACAAAAATATGTCAAATCATGTAAGTTCTGCCTTTTTACAAAATGTTAAGCCCTTGAAAATGAAAGTTTACAGTATAGAGTCTCATCATTAGAGGTATTTCAGTGTCTTTTTCCACCGACCAAATGGCAACGATAACATTTTATCACAGAGAATATACAGCTGTAGCTTGAGGTAAATACGTAGTCGATTGATAGGATTCAAACATTTCAATACCAACGGCCAGAAAATAGTCAAAAGGGATCGGATATCAGAATGAGCCTATTTAAGGATCCCCGTCACACTGCATTAAAAGTGACGTTTCTGTTATAACTGTGGCGTTGGTAGTTCAGTTGGTTAGATCGAAATTTTAACATTCTGAAAGTCCAGGGTTCGAATCCTGGGTTTGCAACGATGGATTTTCACATGCACAACGAGTCCAATGATTGTATAATAAAATTTTGTTTATTTCATCCTAATTGTATTTTTTTCTCATAAAAGTCACGCAAGATTTACTTCTATTTTCAGGAATTATTCATTAAATCTACTTATAGTAATGCCGGAGCAATGCATAGTTACACCATCATTTGGCAGTATTACAGGGATCATTGAGTCCCAACATCAGTGTACGGTATGGAAACGTACAAACATATGTTTAATTATTGACATATTTACCAATTCTTCCATCAATGTACGGTTGGGTTGGATCAACGTTTAATTCCAAAACCATTGGCGTCTCATCCACCGTGTTGTGCAAATATATCCCATATGGACTATCTGTATGGACTTGTCCGGAAAACCTCATTAGTTTTATTGGTGACATAATCTGCAAAGGAATCACATTGTAAACATTGTCATATTTTCCTTAATTACAATTCACGGCCTGTAATTATTATGTATGAATTATATACATTTTTCACATTTGATAGTTCACTTATATTACAATGAGTTTTTCAGCACCACAGTTGCATTTAATGTGGGGAAATCGGTGCTGACAAAATTGATGGCGGTGTGAAAGTTTGGCGGCACAAAAGGTGTCGATACATCGAGGTTATACTGTATATAAATTGTTATCAGTAATGAAATCATGTCGTCAAAGTTAACGTAAACCATGTATTTTAACAATTACCTCAAACGCCGCTTCCGTCAATGCATTGTTAATCGTTCCTTTAACTCGGATATCTTTGTTCTCGTTGTCTGCGTTAAGGTATTGAATGTCTGTGCCGGTGAAATAAACATCGTTTATATAACCAATGTGGGACAATAGCTGCACATTTACGGTCGTAATCAGGTGTTTGATTCCAAAAATGAAACTGAAATTGCGTCCCATGTCTGTAAGATCGTCTTCTACACGCGAATACACCACCATATGTTTGTCTGCATCTTCAGAATTTCTCATTTCGATCATTCCATCATATAGCATATTTCCACTGTTATGCATAACAATTGAATGTATTTCATGCACCTGAAAGAAAAAAATGAAGTAGTGAAATTTGACACAACTTCTATCAAACATAAGTCAACAATGTTTCCAAGATTATTTTACATGCATATGTTATGTTATTGTCCCTTTGTATTTTAAGGGGATAAGAAAATATCTCGTAACAATCGTAATGTATTTGGATATAATTTGTTATCAAGTTTGCGCAAAAGCATGTCATTTTTCCCAGTTTTCAAGAAAACATTAACAACTTGCCTTCCCAATTCTTGGAAAAGTCCATGAGACTTTCATAGTCGTTGATTGTTTTAGAGATGAAATACATCCCTGTACTTTAAGCAGCGCCTCCTCACCGGAAAGAACCTCCACGCTTGTGTTCCGTGTCGTGTAATTGCCACTGCTATAAATATTATCAACTTGTAGTGCTCGCGAGCCAAGTTGAACTAACAAATGTTCATGAAGAGCTTTTGTTTGCAAATAGTATTTATCGTTGGTTTTGTGTATAATTCGAAATAGAGTAGCACCTTCAATGGTTAGCATGATCGTCCAGCCGTTGGTCAGATTACTGTTAATATCCAAATTATTTGTCATTCTTGCACCTATGTCAGAAACGTTATCTAGGTGTTTGTTTGATGCTTTGTTTTCACATAAGAACAATCTTATTGAATATGGTTTTTGAATTTTCAACGAAAGTAGACATCCGTCATTCTTGTTTAAAGCAAATTCCAGAATCGTTTGGTTACTATTTGTTGCGGTGAATGTAACAACGATGTTTGACGTATTACTTTCCGTCATCATTGGACTGTCTGCCTTTTGAGCAAGAATAGTTATCCCCGACGGGTTATCGCGCTTCACATTCATACTAAGTTCATGTAAATCTCCCTCAACAGAAGCTGCTAAGTTAGCAAAAGATACAAAACGTTTTTTCCAAAATAATCCTAAAGATCCTTGCAAAAAGTCCAGGCGTGGCAATATCGCTTTTAAAGTGATGTTCACTACGAATCCTTCTGAAGAAATGTGATTGATATAAATTCTATATCCCCTTGGTGTTCTATTGTGGAGGGCAATTTCCACCTTATTTACAAACATATCGTTGGTACGAATATTTAGAAAAGACACAGACACGTTTTCATATCCAGATAATGGAGTCCTCACCAACAAACTACCTTCTTGAAGGGAACAGTTGAGAGCAAGTTCAATATTTTTTCCCGTAGCATATATGATCTTTGTATAACTTGAAAAGCTATCACTTTGTACTTTGTTATCGTAGATAGCTGATAATTCTTCATAACCAGATACAGGCGTTTGAATATAAACGATCCCGCTTGGTAATCCTATGTCTATCGTCACACCATATACAGAATCAGTTTCTCTAGAAGCTTCCAGAAATAATGAAAGATGATCTGGTTTTAAATTACGGTTGTAGGCAAAATTAAGGTGTTCATAGCCAAAATACGGTGTTTGTATGGTAGCATTTCCGGATGTTATTGAAAGAGAAACGTTTGCAACAAAGTTCTGTCCGTTGTGTTTAAGTTTTCCGTCAAATACGAATGTGTTTGATCGAAACTTGTTTCTGAAAACAGCGAGTGTTTCCTCATATCCATGTAGAGGTGTCTTCATGCCAAACTTTCCACTGATATCATTTCTCATAGAACCAAGCACATCGATTTCAAATATCTTATCCGGTTGATGAGATATTTCCACATGACTGGCCAGGTTATCATTTGATAGGAAATGTCCAAACATAAGAGATAAATGTTCATAGCCAGCTAATTGTGATTGGAGAGCTATACTTAAATTAAACTTTCTGTGTGAGAAAAATGAAATATTTGAATCAAACACGTGCAATGGGGAAACCCTCAGAAATACACGGTTTACAACCTTTTCGTGTGTGTTTTTGTAATCGAAAGATCCAATGATATCTTCTTCGATCTGAAAAGGATTTTGAATGGCGAAAGAAACATGCGATTTGCTGTGCAAGTCAATTTCCAGGTCACATGTTATTAATTTATTTCTATAACGCACTTCAGCATTTGTAATCACAGCGTCTCTACTATAGTTGAACGACAGAAAAACACTAGTATCTTGGAGTTCACTAAATGACGATTGAATCCGCAAAAGTCCATTTGTTAAATTGTTTGACAATGTCATTTGAATGTTTCGTATGCTGTCGGAAACCGTTCGCACCAGCAACGTTCCCTCGGCATTAATCGACAGTTTAGCAAATACCAGTTCCACGTCTTTATGAAATAAATCAACAGCATATTCTCCTTCATGTGCTTGGAATGAAGCATTAATTGCAGACGTGAGTGGTGAATCAAAAGCGAGTAATCCTGTGTGCTCTGTCTCGTTTATAAGATGAATATGCAGTTCTACTTTCCTGTTTGTATTGCAGACTACTAAACCACTTGTATGGAATCCATCTATTCCTCTTGCGTGACTGATTTCCATTTGCAAGTTATTAAATCGTTCAAGTGCAGTATGGAGAGAGATGTTTACATCGATGGCAGATGGCAGGTCACAACTTATATTTATATATAAATGTTGCATCTGTCCATGCATCATTTCGACTTGGGACTGCATATGAGTCATAGTTCCATTGTGACTTAATGATATTATCATATCTTCAGTGAATGATGTTATGAGTGATCCACTTGCCATTATGCCATTTATAACATTTACGTCAATATCTCCAGTTAGTCGATGTTCGTTGAAAACAATATGTACGTCAGTAGAAAACTGTCTTAACGTGCCCTGTTGCATTACACTGCATTCAAGATGTCTGGCCTGAGCAAATGGCGTGTCAACAGACAGCGTGAGTGCAGTTCGAGACTCAGTAGAAACAACAACATCCGTTCCAAATTGAAGTCTGCCATTGTAATTGAGATGTAGATGTGACTGAAAAGCAGAAAACTGTCCATTGTATGTTAATGCCCCAGTGACGTCCTTGTACCAAGGAGTTTGAACAACGATTTGGCCAATAACGCCATTAGACATATTCATTATCACATTGCATTCAATGGCTTCCTGATCAATTGACATCTGGATGCGTCCTTTTAGATTATTATTTTCATTCGTGTAATTTACCACAAGGATGACATGCTTCATATCATCAAATGGGGCCGTAATATCGAGCATAATGTCTTTTCCATTTAACAAATATACAGCCATATTTATGTCTGTCGTCTCTTTAGAATCAGAACCACTTTCAAAGTGATATTGGTAACTGGATTGGCGAGAAGAGTGAAAAATCGTCGCATTCATTCTCTCCATCGATGAAAACGGACTTCTGAGAATAAGTCTACCGGAAATGTCATCAGTGGTGTCAAGTTTTGTGTCTAGAACAACACTGTCCTTGTCATATTCTACCCGGATTACTGTCTGGAAATCCTGCAGTGAACCCTCGTGAGACAAATAGAGTTTGGCAGGCTTCGTCCAATTGGATGTGAAATCTCCTGAGCCCTTTATTTTCGGTAAAAGTGTGCATTTGAAATTTGCGTTGGCTACGTCAATTCTTCCGTATGTTAAATCGGCTTGGGTCACAATTTTTCTTCTTCTTCTGGAAATCAGGGTAGACAAACGTATATCTTCTGCGTTTGGAAAACGGACGACCAAAAGCGCTTCATAATCCCTTAGTGCACTGTATGTGAATTCCATTTCATAGACACTGTCAACAACCATTACTTCCGTACGAAGTTTGAAGTTAATGCTCGCACCGACGTATTGAAACCCGACACTTAATCTTCTATAACCAACAAATGGAGTCATGAAAGCTATTTCACCAGCAATCGATTCCACAACATCAAATCGGGCAAAACCAATTATTTGTTTTTTGCCAATCCCAATAAGTGATCGGCATTCAAACTTTTTGAGGGAACCTGTGACAGAGATTCCAGCTTCGATTTTGTCGTATTTCTTAAATGGTGTAACAATTGCAAGACCAGCCGATCTTGTTAATGGAACTGAAAAATCCAGATTTGCTGAAACCGTGAGTTTCCGTTCCCTTGGAAGATTTACATCTAGGAAACACTGATAATCCTCTTGTTTTACTTCGTGGGACAATTTCATCGTCAACTTCTCATATCCTGAGAAAGGTGTTATGAGAGACAATGATCCGGTTAACGGTTTCAGACTGAATTGAATATCACCAAGGAATTTTTTGTTGTTGTTGATAAAGATTTCCGCCCGACACTGAAATTGAGTCCTAGACCCAGAGTGCGTATAAAATAATCTGCGTTGTTTGTATTTAGTGAGAGGAGTCTGAAAGTTCATTTCTATGCTGACAGGTCTCAATGTAAATCTTGCTGTGCCGACAATCGTTGACTTGCCTATCCCAATTGACGCTTTTGTGTCAAAAGCTTTTCGTGAACCTTGATGGTAAACTGAAGCATGCAATGTTTTGTATCCTTTCAGTGGTGTAACGATTTGAATAGAGCCTTCCAGATTTGGAATGATTGTGAACATTGCAATGATGTCAAATTTCGCATTTCCGTACTTGAAATTAGCATTCGTGTTGAAATTTGTTAGACGTCCACGATGAACAACTGCTGCGTTGATCCGTTTGAAACCAGAAACAGTCAAAGACAACAGCGCTCTATTCGTGAATGTTTTGTCTGTACTTAACTCAATGTCACCTTCAAACATGCTCTTAGACCTGCGCTGAAATTCCCATTGTGTCTTAAAATACCGAAACGTCCTTTTATGAAAAAATCCAGCGCTTACGTTTTCAATATAGGAGGATTTCACAGCAAAATTTCCAGTTATGTTATTCTTCCACCCGAAACTCGCATCCCCAAATAAAACTTTTGTGAAGCCGTATTTTACTTCAGCGTGCGATGCAATTCTTGACGGAAATGTGAAATGACGTAAGATGCCAACCAAATCTTGTGTAAAAGGTGTCTTTGATAAAATTACAAACTCAGCATTTTCTCCAAACACTATCTTTAAATCTGTTTCAAACATTTTCCACGGGTGGTACTGTAGCTCCATATGAATATTAATCGGGTTTTCATTTTGTAGGTAG